AAAAATACGAATTATTTGGGTGAGTTTAGGCAATTGTTGAACATGCTAGTTTTACAAACTAGGGCTTTGTCTTCGGAGGCTTAGGATAGGGTGAGTAACCCTTTGTTACTCACCCGTGAGTAACCACCTTAGGACCGTAGATCTAGGCCGGGCTGATCGTGTGGCTGTGGTTATTGCGGTGATGGCCAGGGGCATTTTTGTCCGATTTTTGAATTTTATTTCTTGTCTTTTTCTACTTTTCTAGCATTTATATAATTATTTTTACGGAGGAAAGAGAAACCAGACTTTTCTCTTCCTTCCTCTTTTCTCTTTCCCTTCCTCTCTTCCTTCTCTCTTCATTCTCTCTTCCAAACTCCTTTTCCCAGATCTAGATAGGTTCCTTTCTTTTGTTCATTATTTTTTTCTTCAACAATTGACAAAGAAAAATTGCAGCATCATGTCTCAAAATATGGCGACGCTCCAAATCCTTCTTCTTTGCAGCTGCTTCTTCCTTATGTTCTTTCTTTTCTCGGCCTCAAAATAGATGACGTTCCATATTGACCAAGAGAGGGGCGGATCTATGTGAGTTAAGTTTGCATGTTTTATATTTTAGTATTTGTTTGTGTATTTTCAATTCCGATCTTCCTCCTCTTTTTTGTTGCATTTGGTTTTCTTGATTGCAGAGGAGAAATGAGAGGAGACAGAAGACAAGTTTTTTTTGTCTCTCCCTCCTGTTTTTCTTCCTTTTAGGTAATATATATTGATATTACCACACTATACCATATGGTAATGTGTGATAACTAAATGTATCTTTATGTTCACGAGTTTTATCATGGTGGTAGTGGGTGGTAATCGACTCCAGTTATGAGAAAAAAGAGTTAGAAGACAATGAAGTTGGAGAAGAAAGTGAAGAGAGTCGTAATTGTATATATATACTGAGATTACCACACTATACCATATGGTAATGTGTATATACCATATGGTAATGTGTATATACCACACTATACCATATGGTAATGTGTATATACCATATGGTAAAGTGTCTATACCATATGGTAAAGTGCGGTAACGAAATGTATTTTTATGGATATCGTGTTTTACTATGGTTGTAAAGGGTTGTAATTAGATTTATATTATTTTTGTATGGTTTTACCTTCTCATACCATGTGGTATTGTATGGTAATTATAATTAATTTGTGTTCATTCGATTAACCATGTTCTACTATGGTGGTATTGTATGGTAGTCAGATTTATAATTTTCCATAACATGTTTTACCATGTGGTGTTAGTTGGATTTGTAATTTTATTTTAGCATGTTATACCAAATGGTATGATATGGTAAATAGATTTGTAAATTTATGTAGCATGTTTTACGACGTTATACCATGTGGTATACTGGTATTGTATGGTAGTTAGATTTGTAAAAAAAAATTCAACGTATTTTACCATGTTTTACCATGATAGTAGACAGTGATAATAAATTTCATATTTGTAATTAATGTCTTTCGCACTAAATTATTTAACGAAAAAATAACCATTTAATTTGAGTTGAAATTTGAACAAAGATAGCTAGGATGATTAGATTCATTTTTGTTGTAGATGAGAGAGAGGAAATAATGTACTTTTTCTAATAATAAAACAAAGAGTAAAAGAGAGGAGAACTAGGTGGGGTGGGAGAGTGGGATCAATTTACAACAAAAATAGGGGGCACAATTTACCCTATTACCCCTCCGTGTTGAATTTTAATAAAAGAAAAAAACTGACACATGGGGGCCAGGGGAAGGGGTTACTGATGTATTGGTTACTGAGGAGATCCGGACCCGTCTTCGGATGGTCAAGACTTTCCAAATCTTGAAAGTGAATATGTTAACCTACCATCCAGCGGTGGTGGTCGAGGTGACAGACCACAACCAGGAAACCCTACACCGGCGACAACCAATGTACCAACATCTCAGAGGGTGAATGTTGGCGAGAGTCACATCACTTCATCTCAGGTCCATGTTGAGCAACCGCCATTTGTGCGAGGTATTTCTCAACAAAACATTCCAGAAGCCAGACCATACATGGCTCATGTTAATGTTGGGATGAGCTTGGGTCAAAAAAAATGTTGAACCTATACAACCACGTGCGTACCCGCAACAAATCCTATCCACTGTGAACATGCGAGGCATGTATCCTGGTGGATTCATACCGCTTGGGTGGCAACAAGGGGGCTCAGATGTGAATGCACTCCGTTATTAGATGGTACAGTTGTTGGTTGAACAATTTGGTTTTGCTATGACACCACTGATGTCCGAAGTGGGCTGATAGAATGCATCTGTTGCCCAGAGGTTTTAGGGTACCAGAGTTTATACCCTTTACTGAAACAGGTGATCAATCCACAGTGGAGAATGTTGGACGATTCACTGTCCAATGTGGTGATGTAGATGATTTTGTCAAGTTACATTTGTTTGGAAGCTCTTTGATGGGACCTTCTTTTGCATGGTACGCCAGTCTGCCATCTAATTCAGTATAGACTTGGCAACAAATGGAACAAATGTTCCATGTGCAATTTTATCGGTCTGAATTAGAAGTAACCGTGGTTGATTTGTCAAGCTAGCACAAAGTGGTTTAAACTTTGAACTTTGTAAAAAAATTCAAGATAGAGAGTTCTCTGATTTATTCCAGTTGATGTCATGTGCGGTTAAGTATGAGACTTTTCTACGTGAAAAAGAGAATATAAATAGTGCCTCAAGATGTGGATGGTGTCGAGATAGATTTGGCTGAAATTGTGCAAGGAAAGCCATACGTTTGTGCTTACTTAGCCAAATTTGATAATGAACAACAAGTTGGAGAACCTAACTGTGCTCTAGTCCGACCTAGAAAGTTTTCTTTTGATGTTGCAAAGTTAGGCTTAATTTTTGACCAGTTGTATAAGAATGGACAGATTAAGCTGTATGGAGGGATAGTATCCCACCCCTGAGAAGTTAAAAGAAAAACATTATTACAAGTGACATAATAGTATGTCACATGCCACTAATAGTTGTGTGTTTTTTCGTAATGTTTTGCAGGATGCGATTGACAAGAGACGCATCAAGTTTCCAGAACCCAAGAAGTATGCCATGACAATGGAGACTAATCCATTCCCAAGTGTCATGGGCATCAATGGTCAGAGATGACTTTTTGAAGATTGACCTGTCATGCTTCAAGCTGGTGTTGGATACAACACCGCCAGCAAATAGTAGCTCCAGTGTCATTGTGCAAGGTTGATATCCCAAATACCGATACCAAACTTCCAGCCCTAGTCGAGAGGGTCTTTGAAGGACTTTCATGCGTTAAACTATAGCATTTTCTCTTTGGGAGCTCATAGTATGGAAATTCTTTGATCAGCTTTCAAATCCCTCTCACCTAATGAGTTGGTAAGACGATATACCACCTTAGTCCTATGCCGGGATACAATACCTTGACATTCCTCCTTGTCTAACCATTTCTTTTATTCGACCAAGTGAATGATTCACCTTTAAATTCTCGATGAGGGTGTTGTGGAAGATGAACCTCTTGAAAGATTTTACATTCTCGTACCTAAGGGGCATCTCTCCTCTTTTCCATAATCATAACTATCAACATTAAAGTCACCTAAAATAACCGAATTCGACTCCCTTCTACAAAGAGAGTTAAGTAGAACAATTTAGTTAAAAATTTAGGGCGTCAAATAGAAGTTTCTATACTTAGTACATTATGGCTTTTAACCCCACAAGGCCACAACTACTGGGGATTTTTCCAATAATAGCACCTTAAAAAATTACAAAACTAGCACCCATATGAAAAAATTGACAGAAATAGCACCAATATTTTTGGAACGCACCATAGGTGTGCGTTCCAGCTTACAAAACGCACTAGGGCGGTGCGATTTAATGCTGCTGCGGAACGGTCTTCAAGACCGTTGGATGGAGGAGCGATCGGGCGGCTGAACGCTTGCCAGCAGAGCGATCCGCGCCAAGGATACCAGATCGCACGCCCGAGATGTGGTTAACCCTAGGGAAGCGCAATACGCATCGAGAGGGAGCGGTTTCGCTTAGGGAAAAATTACCCGACCGCCCCTGGAGGGTGCGGTCTGATGGGTATAAATACCCCCCCTCCCCCTCTCATTTCTTCACACCACAACCCATTATTCCTTCTCTCTCTACAATTTATCTCTCTAAACCCTCCCCCTCCCAAAAGCCTATGAAATAGTGGTCTGTTGGTTGCGGCTAAGTCCGATCTGCCATCAGAAAACATTTCTTAGGTTTTTTCCTCAAAACCCGCTGAGCCGAGCCGAAGCTCTGTCCGAATTGCACCGAAAAAATGGCCGATTGGTGGCAAGGAGAAGGAGTTTATGTTGATGAATTTCAAGCAGTACGTACTCATTATTCTGGTTTAATTTTTGTTGTTGTTATAAGCTTTTTAATTAATCTATGTACTAACCTCGTTGTTATTTTCTAGTAGGTTGGGGAGGACGTGGATATATACAACCAACGGTATTATCTCGAGCAAGGTCGACTTGTACGACCAACCCAACCATCGGTCAAGGGATGTTTGGAACGCTCACCCTGTACATACAATTCTTTAGCATTTGTCCTTCTTTTATTTTGTTAATGTATTTAGTGGAATATAAAATAAATTTATGTTGAATTTTTAATCGTGTTGGTTGTTTTCAATAATTTAATCGAATACATAGCGCCACTTACTTCGACTCTTTATAAGGAGATGCACGTCTAAGGAAATGGGGTTTTAAGCGATTATCATATCCTCCCATTTCCTGGGAAAATCGGGTATTAAGAGATCCTCGGATCCCCCCTTTTTTCTGTCAAAAAGACTGCGTTTCTAAGAAGATGTATACCTCTTCTAAGAGTCTAACGAGTGTTACTTTGTATTCGATTAAATTATTTAAAACAATCAACACGATTAAATTATTTACCAAACAGGCAAACAACCAATACGATTTATTTTGATGTGTACAAAATGAATTTTATTAATTTCAAACATTTGAATATGTATGTTTCTCTTTAAATTATTATTCATTAACAATGTCATTTATTTTAGTTAATTTAGTATGTTTGTTTTACGATAATATGTATGTATCTCTTTAAATTATTATTCATTTAGAATGTTATTATGTTAATTAATTTAGGATGTTTGTTTTATGATAATATGTATGTATCTCTTTAAATTATTATGAATGAGGATCATGGTAACTTTGGTAGGGATGATCGCCATATAATTCACCTCCACCATGGATACCAGATGTTTGACCGTGTCCAGAATGACCTCCAACGCCTGCGACCGGCTCGGTGTAAACGAACATCTCGGCTTTGGAAAGATTGTTGGACCTCATGAATTCGAGCATGGCATCATCCTGAGTGGTTATGAGATATTCCGCATGCCACAATGACCCACTTTCTCTGTTTGGATATCGGTACACCATACGATCAACTCTTCTCGTGCCATCCATGCAAGTAACGTTAGTGCACATTTGATGGAGGTCTTCAAGCAGCGGTCTGGTAGCGACCTTTATCTTCTGAAAATTGCCACCTACGTAGGTGACCCCCTTTCTGGTCTCTTCCGTGTAACCATCCACCGTAAACCAAGCGTGAACTTTTGGAATGCCATCTGCGATAAAACCATAGTTCGGTTAATATCATAGCAATCAAAAATAAAAAATAACAATAAAAAGTAATACTAAATAAACTTACGAGTTAACGTTAATCGCAAAACTACTAAAGAAATATAGAGCTACAACATAAAATTGAAAAGAGAGAAGGAGAGGTGTGAAGAGAAGTGGTTGTCCGAGAGACCATTTATAGGCAAAATTACTGATGAAAACCGCACCTTAGAGGTGCGGTTTTCGTTTGCCATGCAGACCCACGTCTGTTACGTCTGCATGGTATGTCGGAAATTGATTGACCAAAACCGCACCTCCAAGCTACGGTTTGTATGGCAAAATTGCACAATGAGGGTGCGGTTTTGTTTAGGAGAAACAAACCGCACCTTCATGATGCGGTTTTAATAGGTCAGGCCAAAACCGCACCTCGGCCAAGTGTTTTCTGTAGGTCATACCTAAAACCGCTTGGCCAAAATGCGGTCTTGGTCCAGAAATAGGGCCTTTTTAAAAAAATACAAAAATAGCACACATCCGAAAAAAATTACACTAATATGAGTATTTTAATTTTATTTGTAATATTGACCGGCATGAATCGGCACAAACCGGTATGTGCCACCAGTTGAACCATTCCATTTGCTAAACCGGCACACTGACATAAACCGGTTTGACAACCTTGTTTTGAATGTTGAGTTTGGGACTGCTTCTCGACTTCTGCCCTCTTCCTGTATTATTGGCTCTGGGCTCAATGCCCTCTCCGTTATTTTCAATTGGTTCCATTATCTTCACAACTCGATTTCATATTTGGGTGGGGTCCATACTGTATCCATGTTTCGCCTACTACCTTCTTATTAGAATTCCTCAAACAAGCTCAATACTTTGGATTAAAGAGTCATGTTTTTAATTAAAGCTCAATGCTTTTGAGCGTCCCTACCTACAAGTACGAATTTGAGAGAAGAAATTAGGCCATCTCTGATAGTAGGATTAGGGGTCAGGAAGGAGTGTGAAACTGGTGTTTGGAATTTGGCTGAGTGTAAATTAGGGGGCTTTCCTCAAACAAGCAGATTGGTGCTGTATTCAAATCCGGTCAGCGATCACCATATTGGCTCGGCTCAACTCATCTTGAACTGGAGATTGAGAACTGACCATGCCCAGCCGAATTAAAAAAAACCCCCAACCTACATTCAGCCAATTCGATCATGTTCCTGGTTTTCGATTCAAAATCAGTGAGCTAGCAGATATGGAAACCGACGGGTTGAGCAGTTTCTGATGCTCCCCAGATACCCATGTTGCCCAGGTACGTGGTCACAAACTCAGCAGCAAGTAAGCAACTAATAAGTATATACAAGCAGCGGGTGGAAAAAAAACCCGGAGAAGATGAGCAATGAATAATGTGCCAAAGAAAGGGAAGTCAGAGAAGGAGAAGAGCCAAATCTGACATAAAATTCCCCACCGAGGATTTCAATTTGTGCCTCTAGAACAAAGCTGGCAAGAAATCGATCCAATTCAGATCTACTCTTGCAGCCGAAAGAGGAGGCAACGAAGACAAAAACAATAACAAAAGAAGGAGAGAGCTGAGGAATTCAGTCTCTTAATCGAAGGAGCAGGAACATGAACCATGAATGAATTTGAGTGGTAGAGGACGACTGATAACTATATATAGAGTAAGATTAAGAGGGAGAACTGAACTAACCCTGCGCCGACGTTCAGGAACCCTAACCGGCTAGTTGGGCCTGGGCCAGACGTTATGGACGCGGGCCCTTTTTAGTTTTTTGGTGAAATCCCGAGGCCCTCCTAGTAAGTTGCATGCTTACAATTTACAAACGAATAGAACTAATCTACGAGTCGTTTGGAAGTTGTGATTCTTCAAATTGATGTATTGAGTCAATAATATATTATCATTTGATGTATTAGGCGAATATCTTGTTGAGAGGTTTAGATTATGTTTCTTGTAAAACCACAAAAGTAACTTTTGAGTGATTGTGAAGAATCTCAACAAAAAGTAGAGATTAATAGTCTTACATAATTGAAGTAATTGTGGTGGAGCCTCCAAAAAGTTAATGCATGTATTCTAGTTCAATATAAGCCAAAAAAAAAAAATAGTATTAATCTCACAAATACATGAATTACCTCAATAAATCATTTGAAATTGCAACTTCCAACCAAACGACCCCTACAAATGTGTACTAGTCTACCTATTTGAAAGGCAAAAAGGTCTAATGTGAATAGAGGGACTCTAGTTTAGCGTTTGTCTCACTTGTATTTTCGATTTGACAAAAAATGTCATTGGTGCGATCAGTGATGTTCTAAAGTATTTCATTAACAATTAGGCTTAACGATTGATCAAACAATGATTATAAAGTAGGTTTGACTGCTTATGACATGTTTTCAGTGCGTCACCGTGAAGATACAATGACACACGAATAAATACGAGGAATTCTACGCATTTAAAACGATTTCTGTAAAGAGCAATTTATGTACATGAATCACATAGTCAGTTTTTGTGACTTGGTATGAAAGTTTCTAAATTCAAGGCTAAGGAAATGAACCGTAACACACAATGACGTATTGTGTTCCATACACAAAATGAACCGTAATCATAATATCAAAATAGTCGCTGGGTATGCAATAAAGCATGCAAGAGATATTTGTTTTGTTAACCTAGCTGATTGACTTGCTGTGTACTTGGCTACTTGCTGCTAGATATTTGCCTGGAAAGTAACCGAAAGCAAGTTGGGCAGCGGTTGACAAGAGAAAGCATCTACAATTTACCTATGGGATAAGATCAATCCAAATCAGGATGTGGACTGCAATCACATGATCAGAACAACTTGCTGCTCATAACATACTGTTCATCTCCACTTGCAAGCCAAACCCATAAGAAATTCTTGGTTGAATCGACGATGAAACAGGAATGATTTTGCTGCCTTAACAAAAGACAATATACACTATAATCTCCTCTCTCACCCCCAAATTCAATGTAAAAAAGAAATCAAACAATAGCAAAGCCACCAGAAACCAACCTAACCATGAATACAAGGTGGAAATTTACAGAGAAACCCCATTTTCCGCCAACCAAAACCAACGGAATACATAAGAAAAGCTTGTAACTTGGAAATTCGTGTGAAGAAGAGAGTCACTTCAGCAATTATGGGTATTTCAGATGATACCTGGAAGATAATTGATTCGCTTTTGTTAAGGTAAACTTTACCCTATAAATCTAACGACGACACAAGATATGTCGTCCTTGCTGTCTCTTTCCAGTGCCTCAGTTGTCAGCTGTTTTGCTGCTTTATGTGGGTCTTTAATCTTTCTTGCCATATCAACAGCCTCTTGATTAGACATAACCTGGAGGAACATTGAAGATCAACAAATAAGAACAGATGTAAGGCAATTCTGCACCACATATGCCCTACGATTCATTGCAGACCAATCCATAAAGCTTCCTGGGCATTTTACCTTCCAGAGGCCATCACTGGCAAGGATAAGAATATCTGTGCTGTTGTCTATGCTGGATTCTCGGACATCTGGATCTGACCTCAGATGCGACTTGAGGCTTTTGTCTCCAAAAGCGCGAGAAACTGCCAGCTGTCCGTTGACCCTCGGAACATCTCCTGAAAACGTACCCAAAAGAAGAAGAAGCTTATTGTGCAAGTTGAAGACCAATTAAGTTTTTGCTTTAACCGTCTCCAGATTAGTGCCCTCAGACACCAGGGTAAGAACAATTCAAGTTCCAACACTGAGAAACAGCAGTTGGCAGATGTGACCTAAAGATCCCTTCGATCATACAAGTCACTTAAGAATCTATGTCTTTCGAGAGCCAGCTCAACCTTATAACAGTGTAGAAAAAAGGTATACTTGCATTTTTTCACCACTTGCCGGAAAAAAATGGGGCATGAGCCACCATTTATCTTTCCAGTTTACAGATGTCGTCATTCATGGGGAGACATAGTTCTTTATAACCCAAACACAGAACCTTAAAGAGAAGCCTGAGATTTCATTTGCAGGATATAACTTAAAAATATACGGCTTATGGTGTCATTATGAGTGAAGGAGAAGAAGCAATAACTAGAGTTGATAACTCAGGGGGCCAGGTTCAAATTATCTTCAAGACCGGGGCAACCTCAGAATTTGGTTGCCTTGTTTCAGTCTAGATCAGATCCATTGCATACAGAACTAAATAACAGCATTACTGACAAGTCCAAATACTTGTCCACTTCTCTGGGTTACATAAACCCATTCCAGTCTCTAGACACTAAGCAGACTGGAGTTGATAGAATAGAATAAAAGGTCATAAATCATTTGATAATGTTCAGTAAGTTCAATAAAAAATGATTAGTTCAACAAGGTATTGATATAAAGGCACATGTGAAAAGACCTGGCATGTTCGAGACAAAGCCACCTCTGTCCTCAATGCTGTCTCTTTCGGTATTAGGTTCATGATCTATACTCATTTGTACTGCTTGACCTCCTCTTGAAAGGACTGCTCTCGAGTCCCCAACATTAGCTACCAACAACCTTTGGCCATTTATCAAAATTGCAGTAACAGCTGTAGACCCTCCTCTCCCCAAGCCTGAACCTTGGGAGAGTATATATTGGTCTGTACTTTCATATGCTTTAGAGATAGACCTGTCAGGAAAAGCCCAGAACTCTTCCTGGAACGAAACAAAGTCACCAGAGTGTTAGAGTGCAATTTCCAGCTGGAAGAGTTTTAAACTTAGGATAAAGGAGTTTGAAAATAGCAACAGACCTCCTTTAGGATATTCGGGAACAAATTTTTCTGCAAGTATGAAGGTACACCATCTCCCAAGTGACCATCATAAATAGCAAAGAGCCCTAACTCATGCCCTTCAATCTGAACAAACTTAGCAACATGATAATCTTCCATGGGATGGTTCGCTTTCCCTTTTACCAGGCTGAAACCATACTTAACTAGACCATCGTGGTTCTTTCCTCTCCCTGAGCTAGATGAAGAACGCCCTCCTACAATCTGCAAGTATTGGATATCCAAAACATGAGTGTTTTTGTTTCAAAAAGCCATGGTTAGATAGCCAACAATACTGCATAACATTTGCAGACTATCTTCCCAGAATCGTCATTGGATTCATCAGCTGTGATCAATTACTCTACTCTAAGTAACAAACTGAAGCTTCTGTAGGGCTCAAGACTGTGAATTTTCAATTTTTAACAACAAAAAAAGAAAAAGAAAAAGAGGAAAGGAAGATAATCTTCACCTGAGAGTAAGAACTGAAACAGCACAATCTCTCCATAGATGCAAGAGAATTGGGCGGGGGCGCACCACCAATTCAAAGTTGCCCCCGATCAAATTGCAACCATCCACCTCCAGTATATACCCCCCTAAAGCAAATTACAGACCAAACCCACCTCTCCAAAATCGGCAGCCTGCAAAACCCATCAGAAACAAAGAACCTTGATCACCAGAAATGAAAACAGACACGAAATTGAAACCTGCTAGAGACCGTTGAAAGGATCTAAAACCTTGACCGGACCTGGACAGAGCAGCAGAAAAAGCGCAGGGCAAACAAACATGGGTAAAAAGACGATGTGGGTATATCAGAATTACCTCTTCCCGATCTAATACCGAGTCCAAAATGACGTCTTTTGGTTGCTTTCCTCCTCCTTTAGTTCGCTGAAACAGTCGTTCTTCGGGTGGTCGAAAAGAGGGTTCTTTTGCTGTTTGTTTCTGCTTCTTCGGCTTTCCTAATTAGCTTACGCAAGCAATCAGGCAGAAAAATAAACAATTGCCGAGAAAGAAAGAAAGAAGTGGAACGGGAGAGAACAAGAGCATTTGCAGGCAGGAATTCTGCGGAATTCTTTATTCGGGCGACAAGAGAGAAAAGGATTCCTGCGACGGAGGAAGGAATCGAAGGTCGGCTTAACAGGCCTTTGTTTATGTTAGAAGAAGATGATTTATTGTTTGCTTTTCCTTTGAAAGGGGATTAGTGTGCATTTGGTGCTCGGGGAGGCTTTTTGCAGCTGGAAAGGAAGAAACGAAGCACGGTAAGCGAGAACCCTTTTAGTTTACTATCCTAAAAGGCTGCCACAAAGGGAAGACTTAGCTAGCTTTCCAGTTGACTTTGCTGTTTCCGCTGTCTGTTCACTGTTCAGGCCTTTTCTTTTCCCCATTACTTTACTTGGTTAAATTAGTGATGACGATGGGTGGAGTGGGGCGAATATGTATGTGGGTAGGAATGACAATCAAACCCATGTTTATGGGTATTCGATTGTTCTCGACCTAGTTAACGTGAGGAATTTCTATATTGATTGGGTGTGGGCGGGTATGGGTAAAATCTGCAAAAGTTTGATGGGTATGGGACGTGTATGGTTTTAGTCTCTCCCACCTCATACCTATGCCTATACCCATACCCGCCCCATCAAAAATATTTCTTCACATATAAAAGATATGTGAATTAATTTGTAACCTATAAATAACAGTGAGTATAACTCAAGAAAAATATATGGTAGAAATACGATTGAGTGGTCACTCAAATCAAAATCTAATTTCTTTCTCTCAATTTTCCTTCACTCTTTCACTTTTTCCCCTTGTTAAGAAGATTATGTTAGTTAATTATTACTTGATAGATATATCAGAGTAGAGAATAATGATTTGGATGAAATTGTACTATACTCTTATATGGATTAATGGATGCTTTAGGATAAGATGCTTTGAATCGTATTAAAAATGATTGTCTCTTTGTCGACTTCATGATATAGTAGGTGCATTTAATGTTATAATTGAAAATCTACATGTAAAATATTTGGTATTATAATGATGGATGTACGGGGTGGGTATTATACCCATGGGTACCCGAAGCCCATGGGTATGGGGATGAGTTTGCAAAATGCACCACATGGCATGGTTAGAGCATGACACGAGTACGGGTACGAAATATATGGGTTGGCCAGGCACGAGCACGAATAATTTATGGGTCGTGCTGGGCCTAAACTTCATGGTCACGGGCATGACACGATATGTTAGTGGGCCGTATCGGGCCTAATATTTTTTAGACCTTCTTGGATATAGTAACAAACATGGCACGAAATGAATATTTATTTGATATAAAATAAATATAAAAAATGAGTATAGGTTCAAATATTACAAAATACAAGTACAATAAAAATTATTTACTAATATTATAAGTGATCATATAGATATATACCTAATTACTACCATAAGTAAAAATGGACGAAGTATTAAATAAAGTCAAATCACACTCGTCATACTTGCAATTTTTCCCCCGCTTATTTATTATATTTCTTAAATATTCTATGTTAATACTTTCATTCTCCGTTCAATTTGTTCCTTCTTTTTCCTTCTTTCTTTTAATTTCTTCCTTTTCATTAAACATGAATATGAGCACGACACGAGCATGAATAGGCACGACACGATTCAAACCGTGCTCAGGCCCGTGTCGGGCCTAGCAAAATTAACAATGGGCTGGCACGACACGACACGACACGAAAACTGACGAGTCGTGCCAAACACGGTACGAAATAAATGGGCCCGAAGCGTGCCGTGCTGGCCCAACGCCAATGTACAGGCGGATACCTTAGGCTCGTTTGCTTCATGAATTTAAATACGAGGTTTTGTAATTTAAAAGCTCAAGGATTATCAATGATTTGAGGCATTATGGATTTGTAACAATCGTTTGTTTGTTGAGATGTTTGTTTGTTGAGATGTTTTATAATGAATTTAAGGGTTTGGGATTTAGAACTTAAAGTCCAAAATTACCATACTATCTTTTATCTTTTTCTATGTGTTTGTCATGTTTATGATATGTACACAAAACAAGGACAATAATAAAAAACGGAAAAATTTCATTTAACATTTAACGTAACATATATCGATACCAATTCTTTGTCATTCTTTTCAAAAGTAACATATAACAACATATATTAGAACGGGGGAACAAAAAAATTTACGTTCCATGAAAAGGTCAAAGGAAATGTGTTGCACATTAATTGAATATTTATATTGTTTCTTTGTTGTTAATTAATTGATTATTTATAATGTAGAATAGGTAAATGTGATGGCATACTTGGAATTTTAAAACTTCATGAGGATGTATGGGTAAAATCTCATCATGGATTTATGGCATGTTACAAATCCCACATTAATATATGTGATTTACAAGTCCGTGAGGTACACGAATTTGGACTCTTAAAATCAGTGGGCCCCACAGATTTGGTCTCTAAAAGAAATGCAAGCAAACAATGATTTTCCTTAAAGCTATCTGCCCATTGACACGAAGTGGGAACAAATTTAAGGGAAATTTGTCATTCTTCAACTAGATCCCTAATAAAATGATAACACACATCAATGTGTTTTGTACGAATATGTTGGACACGATTTTGGTCATGTTAATGGTGCTGGTGGTATCACATAGGATTGAGACTGATCCTAGTTGTGAGCATAATCCCGAAGTTGGTGTTCCATCCATAAAATTTGAGCACAATAGCATCCAACTGCTATATATTCAGCTTCCGCGGTTGAAAGAGCAACTCAGTTCTGTTTCTTACTAAACTAGGATACAAGGGAAGTACCCAGAAAATGACATGTCATAGATGTGCTTTCACGATCTACTATGCACCCGACATAGTCAGAATCAGAATATCCTATTAGTTTTAGGCTGGAGTCACATGAATACCACAACCCTAGACTAGAAGTTCTACTCAAATATCTAAAATTCGTTTGACAGCAGTTAAATGGCTTAAATGGCTTTCTTTAGGAGAACTTTGAAAATGAGCACAAACACATACACTATACATCATATCAGGTCTATTTGTTGTTAGGTACAGTAGTGACCCAATCATTCCCCTGCAGAATTTATCATTAACTGCTACTCCTGACTCATCCATATCGAGTTTTGCATTTGATGCCATAAGTGTGATTGCAACTTTTAAGTTTCCAAAATCAAAACATTTAAGCACATTCTGAAGATAGTTGGGTTGATAGATAAAAATTCATGCATGAGTTTGTTTAATTTGAAGCACAAGAAAATAAGTTAACTCTCCCATTAAGCACATCTCAAAAACACTATTCATTTTAGTTTCAAATGCTTTACACAGACTCCCACAAGTAGCACCAGAGATTATATCATCCACATACACTTGTACTAACAAAATATATGCATGTTCTTATTTAATAAACATAGTTTTATCCACCACTCCTCTTTAAAATCCATTTTCCAAAAGAAAGGAATTAAGTTTATCATAGAGGGCTCTTGGTGCATGTTTTAATCCATATAAAGCCTTTTTTTTAATTTGTAGACGTGATTAGGATATCTATGGTCTTCGAACCACAAGGACTGAGACACATAGACTTCTTCTTTCAAGTCCCCATTAATAAATGCACTTTTGATGTCCATTTGATATAGTTGAAATTGTTTTGAACTAGCAAAAGCACATAGCATTCTGATTGCCTCTAGATGAGCTACAGGAGCAAAGGTTTCTTTGAAATCTATCTCTTCCTCTTGACAATAGCCTTGAGCTACTAAGCGTGATTTATTTCTTACTATATTGCCAATTTTGTTAGATTTGTTCTTGTAAATCCACTTTGTTCCAATTATTACTCTGTTTTCTGGTTTTGGTACTAAATCCCATACATTAGCCCTTTCAAATTGGTGCATTTCATCAAACATTGATGCTGCCCAAAATTCATATTGGAGAGCTTCTTCCATATTTATGAGTTCTACTAAAGATACAAAAGTTGTAAATGAAGGTAAAGCTCGAGATCTAGTAACCATACCTTGGTCCAGTTGTCCAATGATTTGGGAAGGTGGATGTCGTTTAACAATGTGAGCTGGAGGTTGAACATCTGGTTGATCAAAACCCCATTCCCTTTCATTTTTGTTCTCCATATGACTTGAGTCACCTCTCTGCTGAATTAACTTCTCATTTCCAACAGGTGACAGAGTGTTGTTCTCAGTTTGCGAGGCTTCTGGCTGTTGTGTATTATCTTTGTCCACTAAGTATGTCCTTCCAAGTCCAAATTCATCTTCATCTACGACTCATGGACACTTAGTAACAGCCTCATCAAATATCACATTGACAGACTCTTCTACCTTGAGAGTCCGTTTGTTAAACACTCTATAAGCCTTACTCAGTGTTTGAGTAACCTAGGAATAATGACTCATCAAATTTAGCATCAAATTTTCCTAAGTTGTCTTTTGTGTTTAATGTGAAGCATTTACATCCAAATGAATGAAAGTACCATAAGTTAGGTTTCCTTTTTCCCCAGATTTCATGGGGAGTTTTATTAATTCCATACCTAATCAAAGCTCGATTGGTTATGTAGCAAGATGTGTTGATAGCTTCTATCCAAAAATACGTAGGTAGTCCATAGTCATGTAACACGGTTCGAGCAATGTCAGTTAAGGTTTTGTATTTTCTTTCAACCACTCTGTTCTGTTGAGGAGTCCTAGGAGTAGAGAAGTTATGGAAGATACCTAGTTCATCACAAAATTTCTCAAAAGGATCAGAACTGAACTCAAATCCATGATCACTATGAATACTATAAACTTTTGACACCTTTTCATTTTCAATATATTTTACTAGATTCTTAAAATTTATAAACGCTTCATCCTTTTTAGCTAGAAACAAAATCCAAGTGAATCTGGAAAAATCATCAACTACCATAAAAGCATATGATTTGCCTCCGTAGGTTACCACATTAGTAGGTCTAAGGAGATTTAGATGGAGTTATTCTAGTAATCTGGCAGTAGAGATGACAAGTTTGCTCTTAAAGCTGATCCTGCTTTGTTTCCCTTTTGCACACTCATCACAGAAGAAATTATTTTTCTCATTTATCTTGGGAATAACTTTAGCTAAATCTAAACGAGCTAGTTTCATCAACTACCATAAAAGCATATGAGTTCCAAGATGCCTATGCCATTCTTCCTGATCGCTCTTATCTAAGCTAACTGAACAAGTTTCATTAAAGTTGTCTTTGTCATTTAGGTCAATTTTATAGATTTTCCATTTTGTTTTCCAGTGAAAAGAATTTGTTTGTTTTTAATATTTTCAACATAGAAACTGTTTGGTTCAAATATAACATGACACTCGCTACCACACATCTGGCTAATGGACATAAGATTGTGTTTTAGTCCATTAACAAGCATTACATTCTTTATAGAAGGACTAGTACCTACCTGACATTTTCCTATAATGTTAGCTGAGTTGTTATCTCCAAAATAAACCTTTCCAAAGTCATCTAGGTTCAAGGTAGAGAAGAGATATTTGTTACCTGTCATATGATGTGAGCACCCGCTGTATATTATCCATTTGGTTATTGCCTCCGTGCTCACTCGAAGATAACTCTGCAATATGCAACTTTCTTTGTTTGGAAAACCCAGATTTTCTTGGGTCCTTTTGTATTGGTTAACTCGAACATATGCATTTTGTTAAAGATTCTAGGTTGATTGAGAGAGTATGCATTAACTGCCTTTTTTCTACTTTAGACCAAGACCTTCTTCTACAATTTTTAATTAGATGTCCCATTTTATGGTAGTAAAAGCATTTGACATTTCGTAACTTCAAACTGATACTAGACTTACAGTTGTGACATTTAGATGTACTTGGTCTTGTTAGTGTTTTCTAAGCTTTGTATATTCAACTTCACAACTTACTTTCTCAATTCTAAGTTTCTTAATATACTCTGTGAACTCCTTTTCTTGTAATTTATTTTATACTAATAGTTTTTCAAGTTCTACTATCTTATTCAGATTATTTCCATTTTATTTATTGAGTTTAAATTATTTGCCTTGACATTTCCAAACTCTAGTTCAATATCCCTTATTGTTTCAACTAACATATAATCATCGTTGTAGTATTCTGGTTCATCTATATTCTCAAGTTTAGACAGACTTACTTGTACCAAAGAGGGGGTAGGTGCAAGACTTTCTTCTGGCTCATCTGCAATTTCCATATATGACTTGTGCACAATTACCTCTTCATCATCTTCTCCTTCGTCTTCACTGCAGTTCCAGGTTGGTGCCATAGCTCGCTCACTTTTGAGTTGTGGGCATTCTGCTTTAATATTGTCCCGTTCTCCCACACTTGAAACAACCTGTGGAGTTTACTCCTTTTGTATTCTGAAAGAATTTGTTCCTTCCTTTTGAATATACCTTGACAAGAATCATCTTGGATATCTCATTACTCCTCTCAACTTCCTTGGTTTTAGTTCCTAGTCCTCCATGTCTTTTCTCTTTTGGGATTCTGAGTAGCTTACGAATCTGCTTGCTTAACAGAGCCAATTCCTCATCTTCCATGTCTTTAAGATCTTCTTGTTCCACCATCAAACTTGTTGCTTTAAAGGATACTTCTCTTTTTCCTTTCTCACTAGCCTCTTTCTCCAAGCTCGATTTATTTAGTTTGTCTTCATGTGTGGCTAACAATCCAACCAACTCATCAATGGCTAAATTTTCCAAGTCCTTTGCTACTTCTATAGCTGTTACTTTAGGAGTCCATTTTTCAAGTAGACTCCACATAATCTTTCTCGCAAGATCCTCACTTTCATATGACTTTTTGAGATTTTCCAGGCCGTTCACAATATTGGCAAACCTTTCATACATCTGTCTGATTGTCTCTCCTTCTTCCATTTTGAACAGGTCAAAATGATGCTTTAAAGAATTGATCCAAGAAGCTTTGACTTGAGAGGTACCTTCGTAAGTGACTTGGAGTTTATCCAAAATTTCCTTTGTTGTCTTATACCAAACAACCTTGTGATACTCTTTTGGTCCAAGTGCATAATACATCAAGTTCGTTGCTTTGCAATTCTGTTGGAATTTCTCGAAGTCTTCATCAGTCTACTTTTCTTGATCTGCCTTGAGCTCGTGTGACTGCTTGATAACCCTAGCCCAGAGCTTAGGATTAGTTGAGCCCGCAAATAGGTCCATACGATTCTTCCAACTCCCGAATTAACTCCTTCGAATATTTGCGATTGATTTTGTGAAAATTCATCAGCGAGGTACATCGAGGCATTGCTAGCAGCCTGGCGACATCCTGAATCTCGTCAAAGGTTGTGGAACCCTTTTCTACGGCAATGAGACTCTGATACCACATGTTACTGGCGTCGAGCGCGAGATGCCTGCCTTTTCTTGGTATCTTTCTTCGTCAATTTCGTACCTGCAAACTCCAATCGTGCCTTTTGCCAAGACCAAGTGAAAAGGGGAAAGACTACTGCATTTGATCGAGAAGGAATCAAGGGTTCAGAGATTTACGTTTTAGAACTACTTCGTGATGGGCTTTGCAAATTAGGCCCAATCAGTTCCTTCTTCTATACGAGGCCCACCTTTGTTTAGGTGGCAGATTTCTATTAGAAGACCAAGTTACTTTATTCTATTGAAACTGTGCATTTTACCAACACACTAGCTATTGCCTCTCTATTTCCCTTTGAATCAACAATGCCTTGCACAACAAAAACTACGAAACACGCAAAAAGAGAGTAAGAATAGAAATGCAGAATTGAAGTGCACAAATAAAAAAACACATGCACTTTTTACGTGGTTTCCATTATTGGGAGAATGAGGATCCCAATACTGACTACTCCACGGTCGGAATATCACGGTGTTGTGGTTCCCGACGATCTACTTAGTATAATAGTCTTGATGCTCTGATCAGAGTTACACTCTCGATGAGATTAACCAAAACAATCCTAGATGATTAATCACGCTTGTGTCTGTCACCACTTTCTAACCCACCTATCCAGCTACCGTGTTTTCCAACACACACGCCCTAATACATATTCACACCTGAACACGAATTAAGGTCTCTTTTCTTACCAGTCACACTAGCAATTTTCTTTGCTCTTTCTGTATGGCATGATCCCCAGAAAAGTGAGTGCTCCTTTGGTTGGGATGCTTCTTTTTATATCATCTTAAAATTGACCGTTAATCACTGATGAGGAAGGCTTCTTTTGAATTTGAAATCTTTCCAATTTTGTTTCTGATGTAGCCATCCTTTTCCTGCACACAATCTTCCAGCTTTGCAATTGATCTTTCTTTTCTTTGTTCCTTCCTTTCAAATTAGAGATTCACCCTATTAATGCCCATTGACAAGCTTTCCTTCAACAAGATAGAAGCAGATTGGATATTCTTCGACGACGTGGATTCCCCAGGCAAAGAATCATTAGTCGATCTTTCTGTTGAGGTAACAACATGCATAACATTAGGAGTATGGATACCAACTGAATATGAAATCAACAGACCAAATGATGCTTTCTATCATTCAACCTTCAACAAATAATTCATGGCAATATGGAAAGATCCCTCCTACCACAATGCAAAGCAACATGTCATAGATGTATTGCTACTTAGGGTCGAGTTCGTAACCCCTCAAATGAATTCTTTAAAGACAACCGACATTAGGATGGATGGGATGTCTATTGGACATTCAGTTGATGCCGCCACCATTTCCTAGCTCAGAGACATAAAAGAGAGAGCGCTTCATGGGAGGCAACTCATGTTTTATCTTATTTTTGCGATAATTTTCTCTTTCTTTCAATAAAAAAGATTGTTTGATATTTTGATTAGCGCAATTAGTTTCCCTTGGATTTTTTTGTTCGTAGTATCAAGAGATTATTCTTACCTTGCGAGATTTGGCTCACTAAGGATTTATATATGGAGTTTGATGTTTGCTTTGGTATTCATGCATTGATGAGGAGATGTCTTTACTCTTGCCACGAAACTTATGCATATCGTACGAGTTGATGATTACGATTATGATGGTATGCTCATATATGTACTTAGATTGTTCTTGCCATGGATTGAACGAAAGCGTAGGGTGATTGTATATTACATTGTCTAATTATTTTCTATTTTGGAGAACTTAGCACGATGATGACATGATTCCAAGATTTAGCTCCTCTGCTAGTAGTCACTATCTCCTTGGGAAGTGAGGGGAGGCGCCAATTCCACGATCCTCAACTTGAACAATGAGACCTCACATCACTGTTATATTGTTCGTTCAGAACAACAATACAAGATCGGACAATGATCAACCAAGATAGTGCTCGTCTCCTCGTAGACCACATGACCTTTTATGCGACTATATATGACTTGCCTTCCTTTCTCCATGTGGGTTTAAACTTGGTCCACTTGCTCCTCTTAGTCTCTTTGGGTTGGGGTTCTGTGCAATTTCAGTCTCCATCGATTAATTCCCCTCGCTACCTTCGATGTTAACTACAATCGCATCTCTTTTCCCCCCAACTACAACCATACATAAAATCTGATTTATACATAATAGGAAGAGTTATGCATTGAAGCATGCATGTGCGGTTAAACATATAAAAATTATCGCTAATTTCGAACTTTAGAGTTGAGATCAGGTTATATACAGTAATTTTTTATTATTATTTTATGAATAGGTTATATTTAGTATTACGTGGCGTACAAACAAACACTCATCGATCAAGTTGGTCACAGACTATTACGACTCATTCTGTAAATTTCCAAATGGAAGAAAGAAGAAGAGAAGAGAGCAGGCAAAGAACCCCGTATCTTGTATAAAAGGAAAGAAAAAAAATAAAATAAAACAAAGAAAGAAGCCCGTAATTTCTCTTCTCTTCTCTTCTCCACTCGTGCGTCGATATCACCTAATCATCCCTTTTCTACTTGCCTCGGAATTCCAGCCGGCCGGGCGGTCGGCCCGATTTATTCATCGTGCTAATGATGTCGCAAATCAGACATACAATACAATTACAATATTGCTCTCTACTAATTGCAATTTGGAAGGAAGGAATCAACTCCAGCCATCATCATAATTCATATCCTTCAAAAAAAAAAAAAAAAAACCCTATAGGATATATAGGCTTAGCCAGTGAGCACCGAAATAACCCATAAAAATGAATTGTCGTCGCAGCTATGGCTTACGCGAGACAGCCGGCCGATCCCATTACAAGAATTCGGCCCTTATAAAAGTAACCCGATACCCTTCATGATCCTACCTACTTACATTCCTTCTCTTTCTGCTTCTTGTATGTTTTCGTTCCTCTTCTAGCTACAGAGCCTTTAGAACAACGTACAGAAACGCAACAATCATTCATGGCTGGTGGTGGTGGTCGTGAAGAGAGCATTTCCATTGACGACATGACTCCACCAAGGCACCACCGCCGTGATGATCGTCAACTCCCAATAACCTCCGCCGCCGCCAAGACCGCCACCATGACGCCTTCCTCCTTCATCTCCGACGCCAAAGCCAGCATCCCACGGGGATGGTTCGTCCCAGTCGACGACTCCCCAACTCACTTCCAGAAGGTCCGTGATCTCCTTAAGCAAACTAGCGCTATTTATATATTCAGACTACGACGCGAATATGTACACAGTGTCATAAACCAGTTGGTCCCAATAACTCGAGTTGTTGGGAAAGGGATAGTTAAGCATTTTAACCTCTTATACGCAGCACATTTTGAATTTTATGTAGGTTCTGGCTGAGGTGGTGGGGACATACATGCTGGTGTTCATCGGGTGCGGTTCTGCCCTCATCAACAGAGTGCAGCCGCTGGGGACCGTTGGGATGGCCATGGCGTGGGGGTTCGTGCTCATGGCTGCCATTTACGCGGTGGGCCATATCTCCGGCGCTCATTTCAACCCCGCCGTCACCGTCGCCTTGGCCGCCATCCGACGCTTCCGTTGGAAAGAAGTAAGCAACTATTAATTACCACTTTTCGTCCTAAGAGATTTCTTAAGTTCCTATATACGTGATTCGTTAAAACGATGTGTGTCCTCGATATATTTGAGGACGGTCTAACCTCATCCAACCTAGAAGGGAAAAAAAAAAAGTTATAAATCACCATGCCCACATCAGTGAACCAAATGTGCGCGTCTAAACCTACACACCGCGAGTCGGGGCCCACCTTACGCTCGCCGAACCTCCCAAACCAGGCGCTTCGTCCCTGAACCCCCAACTGACGACAAAACCCCCCGTAACTTCCAATCGACGGCAAATAATCTGTTTCCAAATCATACTACCAAAACCTATCCAACATGGGGGATTTCATAATGAATTCTGGGCCTGGTTTGCTGCAGGTGCCAATGTACGTGCTGGGTCAGCTACTGGGAGCAACGCTGGCGAGCCTGACCCTGAAAGTGCTGTTCCACAAACAACCCGACATCATCCCGATAGCCACGCAGTACGCAGCCGCCACCACCGACCTCGAAGCTTTCCTCTGGGAGTTCATCATCACCTTCATCCTCATGTTCAGCATCTGCGCCAACACAACCGATCACCGCGCGGTAATGCGTTGAACTTGAATATGTGTGTCATATTAGCTCTTGTATTTTTCGAGGAATTGTGGCTAGTTCAAGTTAAAACTGACATTTCGATCGATATAAACTATGTCGATTCGTTAACAAATACTTACTGACAAGCTCTTTGTGTCATTACATGGCGATGGGAATAATCAGAGCCCCGGGCTTGCCGGCTTCGCTATAGGCTCCACGCTACTGGTGAACGCACTGGTTGCTGGGTATGTAATATATATACATTCTTCTGGATTTACTCTCTCTGTCTTGTTCCATCAGGACAACGATAACCTTTTTTTCCCCTCCTTCTTTGGAATGGGACTTTGATTGATTGGCTGGTTGGATTGAATTGGATTGGATGCAGACCGATCACTGGGGCGTCGATGAACCCTGCGAGGAGCATAGGCCCCGCGGTGGCGTCGGGGGTGTACAAGAACCTGTGGCTCTACATCTTGGCGCCTGTTCTCGGGGCATTGTTTGCTGCCATGGTCTACAGCGGACTTCGAGTACCCAAGCCAACAGCTGCTGCTGATGACAAGGATATGACTACACAAGCTTGATTAATTAGAGCACTGGACCGCGTTTCATATATATATATAGTGTGTGTGTTAAAAACCATACTCTCGATGAAAAGCTGAGTTGAAGCAAAGCAAAAAGGAAGGTTTGGATGGATGAAATCTCAACCATACATGGTGAATTAATTAATGTGTACCACTAATAAAGCATCATCATCATCGTCCATGTATAAGCTTTAATTTTTAATTTTGTTTTATTAAGTGCTTTGATTGTGTCCTTTAATTTTTAATTTTGTTTTATTACATGCTTGATTGTTGTATCCTGGTTTTATACTTTTATATATGTGTGCCACTCTGTATTGGAAATTATAATAGTAGTATTTAAAAGAATGGATATGAATGGGATGGGGATATGTTTGTATTGTGTGTCTCTTATGCTGCTCCTAGTACTCACAACACAAGTGTCGATAGAACCCATATTGTAGAGTTGTTAAGTTTATGTTTGGCATTTTCTGATAGTAACTTTGTATTCGAAAAACTTAATTCGGGTCAAGCATGTATTATATACAAATAAGATTTTATTAAATTATGAATGGTATGGTATATATCATAAAAAAAACTCGAGTACTTATTGGCAACACACTCTGTCAATTGAGTTCTAAATACAAAGGGAGACTATTAAAAAGACTAGTTAATATTAATTATTAATTTTAATATTAATTATTAATTTTAATATATAAAAGCTTAGGTTGTAAATTACTATTAATTAGTGGCTCTCACACTCCTCCTTGCAAGTGGGGAAGTTCCAAGTTGTTTCTTTTACCCCACTCTCCATTTTACAACTTTTGTGTTTAGCTATTGTTCACTAGGTATATATCTATTTTACGTTGTGTTTCCCATAACAATTCTTCCCTACTAGGTTTTCAGCTATTATTCAATGGTTTCACTGTTGCAACTATTATCTACTATGTTTTCGTCTATGGCTTTTTGCACTAATCATCGGCTTTGCCCGCCATTTTACAGCCTATCTCGAAACACTGTCGGCGGAATCCTAAGTTGTTCCCCTCCACCGTTTCCCAAGACCGCTACCATGAGTTTTGTATCGAGACCGAGTTTCGTCCTTCTTAGTGTTTTTTTCTTTCTCTTTTTCCTTTTTGTTGAGCATGATCATAATTGAACCCAAACACATGGGTATCCTAAGTTGAACCCAAATCGTCGCCTTTTTCCACCATTTCGTAGCCCAGCTCGAAACACTGTTGGTAGAATCTTGAGTTGTCCTCTTTCACCATTTGTCACGGCCGCGACCTAAGATCCAAACGTCGTGACCAAAGATCCATACTAGATATGTTATGTCCAATCCTTAACATCGCTCACCAATTCACAACCTTCTCAAAACACTGTTGGTGGATCGAGCGCGAGACTTTCTCCTGCTCTTTCGATGGAAACCCTAATTTAGTTCTCTGTAAAACAAATTGGGAATGAGCAGAGTCTAACAAGACCGATCGAAGAACAATAGTGATAAGAAAATGAATTGAACAGATTAATAAGATAAATGGGCCCAAATCAATGGCCTAGTAAGATGGGCCTGAAAGGCACGACATGCCCGCTGTTCTGCTCGTTGGCCGCTCCTTGTTTCTTCGATCGGGTGGATTCTCGACCAAACCAGTTCTTAGTCTGACTTCCCTGTTCGACTGAGAAACCTGCAAAACAGAGCTACCAACTACAAGAAACAATCCTTGAGCAAAAACAAAGCGACACAACAAGAACCCAAGTTTTTACGTGGTATCCGGTACTATTTGATTTAGTACCGACTAATCCACGGCCGAAGGTTCTCAATCGAGACCTCCGACGTTCCACTATGAGCTTGACAACTAATCCCTGTTTCACTCCCTGCAAACCTAATCAAGAATACCCGCTATTCTACCAGCAATTTCCCCAACTGCTACCGACTTCTCTTTTCACTCTATCTCACAACCCTGATTCTTTCTTTCGCGATTGCACAGACAGAGTCTCCAAAAAGTGTCCTCTGCTGGTGAGATTACAATTGTATAAATACTCTAATTTTGTCTACCGTTGTCCATGATCTCCTCTTGATTTGTCCGATCTTCCTTTCTTGTTTTTACCATATACTTTCCTTGTCAGGATGTATTCAACCGTTGCTCAAGACTTTCCTTCTTCAGAGATGATTCACAGTTGGCATTACCGAGCATTGACAAGCTTCTCACAACAAACACTGACAGCGGAATCCTAAGTTGTCCCCATCCACCGTTTCCCAATGCCGCTACCGAAAATCCATACCATATAGGCTCTATGTTGGCGAGTTTTGTATCGGGGTCGAGTTTCATCATCTATAGTGTTTTTTCTCTTTTTCATTTTTGTTAAGCATGATTACAATTGAACCCAAACATATGGGTATCCTAAGTTGAATCCAAATCATCATCTTTTACCACCATTTCGCAGCCCAATTCGAAACATTGGCGGTCGAATCTTGAGTTGTACTCTTCCACCGTTTGCCACGACCGCGATCAAAGATCCATACTAGATATGCTCTGTCCAATCCTGAACTCGCTCACCAATTCACAACATTCTCAAAACACTGTCATTGGAATCCTAAGTTGCCCCCTTCCATTGTTTCCCAATGTCGCTACCGAAAATCCATACAAGCTAGGTTCTATGTTGGCGAGTTTTGTATCAGGGTCGAGTTTCATTCGCTTTAGTGTTTTTTTCTTTCTTTCTATTTTTCCCTTTTGTTGAGCATTATCACAATTGAACCCAAATCCATGTGTATCCAACCTAATTTGATATGGTCAAAGTGACTTGAAACCAACTTTAGCATTTATAAATTTCTCTTTTTCTTTTTGTTGGAAAGATAATTGAACATGAATCTAAGGTATTGACGAGTTTTGTATCGTGAGCGAGTTTAATGTGCTATTGTAGTTGGCAGGTTGGATCGAGTGTGAATTTGTTTAAAACTTGGTCAAAGTGAGTTGAACACGTTGTTGACCAGTTTTAGATCGAGAGCGAGTTTTGTACGCTTTAATGTTTTCTCATTTTCCTTTTTGTTGAGAATGACTATTGAACTCTGACCCATTGTTCACGAGTTTTGTATCGAGAGCGAGTTTTATCCGCTTTTGTAATTGACAGGTTGGGCCAATTGTGAATTTGTTAAAACTAGGTCGACCCGGTCAAAGCGAGTTAAACGCAGTGTTGAGAGTTTCGGGTCGAGAGTGAGTTTTATATGCTTTAGTATTTTTATTATCTTTTTCCTTTTGGATGATAATGACAATTGAGTCCAAACTACAAATGCATGGGTACCCAACCTAATTCGACTCGATCAAAGCCACTTAAACTCGGTGTTTACAAGTTTTCTGTGGGAGCGAGTTTTATCTACTTTTGTAATTGGCGGGTTGTGTCAGGTGTGAATTTGCTGAAAAATCGGTTCAACCAGGTCAAAACGAGTTAAACTTGGTGTTGACTAGTTTTGAGTCGGTAGTGAGTTTTAGCTTTACGGGTCGTTTGCTTGAGGGTTTTGATGATGGATTTGGTCATGGAAATCTATCCATCATGGACTTTAACAGAAATCCATCGTTTGTCTTAGCGAATTAGGGAGATGGAATCTGTGGGTCCCGCCTCTTTTGGGGTGCCAAATCCGTGGACCCTACGGACTTGGAAGTTCCACCTCTTGAGGTGGGATTTGGGTGACGAATTAAAATCCTTGATGGTAAATTACCTTTCTACCCTTACTTATTACTTTAATTACAAAGTTGTCCTACTTTAATTCAATGGTCATGTAACTATAAACTTTTATAATGTCGTATTTTATATATATATGAGAATCTATCATTTCGTTTTGCAATATCGTAGTTTATTTAAATATGAATGTATATGTGATTTGTTAGATTCAACTATAAACATCTTATGCTCATCTTGTGCATATTATTTGATTGATTGTCGGATTCCAAAATGGGGGAGTTAGCAAGAAGATGATGAGTTGTAGCAATAAAGCGAGCAATTGGTTGCAATTGATACATAATATTGCGTAATTATTAGATGAGTTGTTAATTAGTACCAAATTTTAATACATTTCTATATTTGTAGTTGAATTATTAGTCCACATAGTGGTAAAGCGTTTAAAATTTCATTGTATGCGTTGGATTTTTTTAATGAAAATTATGGATTATAATATAGTAATATAATTAGATAAGAGTAACAAGATAATTTGTATTTCATATCCACAAATCTATTCAAATAAAATCCATAATCAAATCCAACAAGCAAACAATAGACTTGTTCAAATCCATAATGCCATCAAATCCATCATATAACCATGATTTACCAAAACCCAAGTTTTACCAAAACCCTCATTTTTCAAATCCATGAAGCAAACGACCCGTTAGTGTTTTTTATTTCGCTTTTTCCTTTTGTTTGAGAAAGATAATTTAACCGAAATCCATGGTTATCCAACCTAATTTGGACCGATCAATAAGAGTTGAACATCCTCAAACCTACAATCAGTCTCGGAAATTCGTAAAGGATAACCACGATGACCTTAAATTCAAAATAAATCCATATTTTATTTTTAGAAATTTATTAATATTTTATGTTAGAAATCTTTTTTAATCGTTTTACATGAGCTCTTATATTAGAAAGTAATTCTTATAGTTTTTCAGCTAAACACTCAACTGTTTTCTTTTTTAATACTTTTTTAAAAGATACAGAGAAACTGCTTCATTCTGCAAAAAGTTACAGTAGGGTCAATTACTAGTCATACAAACTGAAACAATAGTATCATGAGAGAAGTTTAAACATAAATAATCTATTCGACGACCCTTTTATCTTATGCAAGTTCATCCTTTCATCGACCAAATGCTATTGTAACTAACAAAATTATGAAAAAAAAGTTTAAGAATGAAATAAGATTACTTTCACTTTTCAATCAACATTAAAACTATAGTTCTTTAAAATATTTATTTTTGTGATACGCGAAATGATAGCGAGCCGGCTTTTACTGGTATACTATAAAGCTAACTATAATTGAAACTGGAACACCTCTACAACCATGAGTAGGAGAAAAAAAAAAGAGTGAGGAAGACTTACACGCCAAAAATTGTAAGCATCATCCCTACCAACAACTATTTCAACATTCAACGTCACATCATGACATTTCTTCTCACCAGCACCTACATATCTTATAAAGCATCTCTCTCCAAATGGAACTCACCATAGCTCGCCAGATGATCCTCCTTGTTTTTGCCACAACAGATGATTGGATCTACAAATTTTTGGAGAAAAATACAAGACCAAAAATATCACTCCATACCACCCTGATATATAGGTGATATTTTGGCATATTAGTGGTATATAGTAGGGATGGCAACAAAACCCGAACTCACGGGTACCCACCCGACCCAACCCGGTCAACACGGGTAAAACCCGTATTGATGGGTTTTGGGCCGGGTTCGGGTTTAAACCCGCTACACTATTCACCGGGTTGGGTTTGGGTTTGGGTTTAGGTAAACCCGTCCCATGGATACCCGCCCACACATATAATTACTTTCCCGATATATTTAATATTCTAAATAATATATATTTTTTAAACAACTAATATTATTTATGTTTGTGGAGACATGTATAATTTGTTCTTTCTAATTATTTAGAATGAAGTTGATATTATGGAGTGGAGAGTGAAGAAACTTATTTGACGAGGAAGAAGATTTCAATTAATCTTGTTGTTTATAGATGTTTATCTTTAATTTTGAACAATTTGTATGTTCTAGATTGGTATTTTTTGTATGAATAATTTGTATGACAAAATTGATGTTAAACTTTTATTTTGAAAGAAATTTGTTATTGTAAATTTTTTACCACAAAAACCCACGGGTACCCATGAACCCGCGGATACCCAGCGGGTTGGGTTGGGTTTGAGTTTTTCAAACCCAACGGGTTTTACCCCGGGTTTTTTTTACGGATAAACCCATGGGTTTGGGTTTGGGTTTGACAAAACCCGCCCCAACCCGCCCCATTGCCATCCCTAGTATCTAGAGTTACACAATGTTAAAAGTTGTTAATGATGGTTAGTATATTTCTACTATCATGTATCCAACCATTCTACAGTCTGGTATGTTCATACCACTATGATACACTTTCAAACCACGTAGATGTTGAGGGGATGTGGCACTGATGTGGCAGGTTGTGCATGATTGTGCACCATAAGATTACTGAGAGGATCCGCTCCCCCATGCACCTCCTCAAATATGAAACACACACATAAAAAAATATCAAAGATTGTAAAATCATTTCAGATGTTGTACCGTAAAAGTCAATGATAATGTGTTTTATGACGAAATTGTGGTGTGATCATGGTTTAACTATTTCACACCACTAAAACCACCTATCGATCTTGGGCTCCAATAAACGGTTCTTTTAGTAGGACCATTGTTGCGATTTTGCAACATGGAAAATATATTATCAATAGTTTGTCGAAAGGAAGAGCCAAAGGACCCCCTATTTGAACCAACATCTTCACCACTAACTTAGTCAAGACTTCATGGTTCATATGTAACATAACATCTAACATATTTTGTGACATATTATATTGTTCCATAAACGACTTTTCGCTAGATATATTGGGACAGAGTGACATCGTTGGTAGTTTGGATGATGAATGCATTTTAAATACTTTTCATATGATGAGAATACATCATGAAACATTGTAAAACATTAATAAATTATACATTATTTCACTAAGCTAGACATACCTAAACTAAAATTCTGGCTACGCCACTAATTTCATCAGTCATTAGAGATTGGCCTCGACTCAAATCTGTGAGCCCCAAAGATTGGTGCACAAAAGTTCTACTACAAGCATTTTGTTGGTACAACTTGAAGGAGAGGAATTCTCCTACTTTCGATGATTAGGTTTCACCTCTACAGGTAGCATGCTTCAGAATTGGATGTCTAATATCAATGATTAGGTGAATATGAACATTGGGGAGAGTTGGTTGGGAGCTATGAAGTCTAGTCTACTTCCTCCTTCAATGTAAGAGATGAGATAAGCACAAGGAGAAGGACCTGAAGGAAACATGGATATGTATGCTTCCAGAGTTACATGCAGGAGTTGAAATGAAAAGGAATGAAGTTCTGTCATTTGCCGTTGACAGCAACAAATGTCAAGAGGAAGGGAGGGAACACGGCATGATCATTGTCCTCTGGCAGTTGGGCAGCATTCAGTTGACAAGCACTGTAAACAAATAATACAAATGTTGAACCATCTGCCTATTCTGAGCCAAATAAATTTCAATGTCGGAGCACAAACTGTAATTTATTATCCAGCTACAAACCCTGTCAAATCTTATCATTCCTTACAACACGAACCCAGAAGAAGGAAAAAAGTATGAAAAAACTATACAGCATACAAATTACATACATGGCACAAATAAGTAGGAGTGGAACGATAGCAATATAGCCTGCCTGATTCGTATGATAGTAGTAGTCGTAGTAGTATCCACATTCGAGGTCATCACTGCAGTGATCAGCTTACTGTGTATCGTGGAAAAAGGGCGGTTTACTTGGGACTCTTTGATGTCAACAACACACTGGGTTCACGGGGATTAAAGCATCGTTGCCATGTTCTTCAATCAGTCTGCCTCTACACCAGTACGTGTGTACCTTACCTGCCAACAGAAAGCAGAATCAGAACGCAAAACAAAGGGAAAGTTGTGATCTAAAGTTGAAGAACAAAGATGAAAGAGAAGTCATGGAATATGTTCTTAGTTTTTAAAGGATAAAAGAGAAAAAAAGTTGGCGATACAAAGCCAAAACTAATTAGATTCGTCACATGGGAGTGTAAAAACAGGCTATCTTGCTCATGTGCAACACAAATACTTTTTTTTTCGGTTAAGAAACCATCCATGTCTAATTGACTAAAGGATGAACTCAATAATGAGCTGATACCTTACCTAGCATGGACTCAAAAGACGCCTACTACCCAGTCTGGGGCAGCCGCCTCCAGTTGAGTATCTGGTGAGATTGAGGATGCCTCTGCAAGTAAGAAGAACTCGAACTGATTCCATTTTCATCACCAACAAACTGATCCGAGTAACTTGCAGTTGGAGGAGGAGACCAAACTGGAACCACGCCCCCGTCTCTCTCCCTCCTAGTGCTCGAAGAAGATTCTGATGCCGAGTCTTCTGCAACATTTCCCCCAACCCTAAGCAAGTTAACTTGAGGCAAAGGGTTAACCCTGTGAACAGTCTGCATAACCTCTTCGTTTGAAGCATCTCTCAGTTCTTGATTTAAATTTCTTGGAACTTCAGCTCTGCTATCTTCTGCAGCATTTTGGGCATCTGCAGATGCTTCCTCATCATCCACCCCTCTAAGGATAGAAGTCGTCATGCTCGGCACCATCTGATCTTCATAACGGCGAACAGCTACCAAAGGATTGTTGTTTCTGATAGGTTGTTCATGATGCTGCTGTTGTTCTTCCTCCTCCATTTGTATGTCCTGAGGGAATGCAATGGGTTCCAAGTCATAAGAGGATTCTCCCAGACCTTCTTCAGTGCCATTCTCGATTGCAGCTCTCGAAGCAGCCTCGAGTTGCCACATCTCTGAGAGTGCTTCTTCCAACCTGACTTTTGCTGCATCTATTCCTACAATGGGACGAGGATAGTTGGAAGCCAATTCGATGCCAGCTGCTTGGAGGACTGATTCAGGTGCATTCCACGGGTGATGGATCCATTCGGTTGGCAGCCTGGCTAGCTCGGGAAGCCAGCGACGGACATATTCACCATTAGGGTCGAATTTGTAACCCTGAAACTGCAGAAGAAGATAAAATAACGGGTAGAAAGTGAGTTAAACAAATTTAAAGTTACCTACAGATGCGCTTTGAAACTCTACCAAAGTCGTTTTCCAGTGAATTTTGCAGTGGCATACAACTGAATGAATGTATCAATTGTAATTTGAAACTTCTGATATATTCGAATTTGAGTGCATTTGAAGTTTGTACACACAAATCTCAAATAGTACAAAGTATTTTAAATGAGCTGTAGAAAGTGGATCCCAAACGTCTTTCGTTTTCATTTTCTAACATAGTTTCCCCCAACAAATATATGGGAGGAAACCATCCTTTTGCAATACATATCACATAATAGCAACCATAACATATTATGCAATCAAGAGACGTCGATGTACAATTGTACCGGATTATAAAGGAAGCCAAGGAAAATGGATAGACAAATATGATATTATCACTAGAGCTCCCATCATATATCTGCATAACAAAATGAACAAGCTATGTAAGAAAGTACCTGTGGGTTATCGATGCGATCAAACTCACGTCCATCAGGGAGCGTTCCAGAAATATATTGCCAACCAAGTGCGTCGCTCTCCAAATCAGCATCCAAGAGCGTATCCCAGAAATACTTCATCCCCCATCTCCATGGAAGTTGAAGAACTTTAACAAAGAAACTTGAAACTACCACTCTTATCCGGTCATGCATCCATCCCGTGGCCCACAATTCCCTCATTCCAGCATCGACTAACGGATACCCAGTCCTTCCTTGTCTCCATGCCTTGAAATATCCCTCATCCACAACCCATGGAAAGAACTTGAGGTGCCCTAGGAGAGGCCTCTCGTGACTGTACGGATGATTGAAACTCATGTACCTCGAGTATTCCCTAAGACCGATCGACTTAAGAAACAGATTCACGCTATCTTCCCCAGCTTGGTTTCCTTCATTGGCCCACAGAACCTGCTTCATCCTAACGAGATGAAAAACCTTTCTCACACTAACTTCCCCAAAATGCAAGTGAGGAGAGAGAAACGAGGTCGTGGCGCTGTCAGCCTTCCTACGATTCTTTGAGTACTCAAGCAACGGCCCGTTGATAAATGTGGTCAAGGCTTTGTCAGCATTGCTCCATCCAGGTGACCATGCCCGAGCGAGGAGTGCATTGCTCGCCTTCTCCGATTCGTCTTCAAATACTAACATATCGGAAGGACATCTCGAGACATCACCTGCAAAAGAATTAGCAGTAATATTGAGAAGTGGCAAGAGTCAATTATGAGATAGAAACTAACTGGGGAAAGAACCTAAAACCTGGTATAATCCTCTTAGGTGGGAGTAACGGAGCTTCAGGATCGTAAGGCATGGTAAGGCATCTCTCCCAGAAGGAATCAAAGGTGGAGAAAGGAAGGCCTTGAGCATCAGTGACATCCCATGGTTCATAGAGAAGGTCTGCATTGAAGGATCTCACAACTATTCCACTAGCTGTCAAAACTTCCTTCGCTCTGTGATCCCTAACCAGTGACAAAGGATCTGAAAGAAGAACCAGTAATCAAAATATCAGCAACTCAGCAAACTTGGCAAATCTCCCCATCCGAACAGGACCTTGAAACTCAAAAAAATGACCAAGCTAACAAAACCAAAAGATTTCAACTTTCTCTTCGGTAAATCAACAAAGCGATTAAAGCAGCTAAACCCAGTTTCCTAAACTGAAAACCCAAAAAAGATCAACAGAAATCAAGGGGGGAAAGCACATAATACAAAATCACAATCAAGGTTGAATATTATATCTTTCACGATGAAGTCAAATACTAATATAACAGACAGCAGCAATCCCACAACAAATCCAATTAACAACAAAGATTAAAAAACCCCAAAAGAAACATCAGAAAAGAGGAAAATTGTTAAACAGCATCGAATTGGAAACCCAAGAATTGAAAGGGAAAAGGGAGAAGAAGAAGGAACCATATAAGTGGTTGAAGAAGAGGTGAGTGGCGCCGGTGGATTGGACGACCTGAAGGAGAGTTGAGAGGGAATCAGTCGATCTCTTGGTCAGCAAAGGAGCGCCGAGATTGCGTAGGGAGGAATCGAGATGGGCGAGGCTTTGCTTCAGCCACCAACGGGAAACCCTTCCAGGGTAGTAATGGCCTTCCTCTTCCGGCGCCCATATGAACAACGGCACCACCGTCCCTGCTCTAACCCCAGCCGCCAACGCCGGGTTATCTTCTATCCTCAGATCTCTCCTCAGCCATACTACACAACTGCACCTCCCGCCGCCGCCACTGCTGCCGCTACCAGACATCCCCTTCCCCTCCTCCTTCCTACAACTACAACAACAGCTCAGGTTTCTCTCTCTCCTAACCCCCTTTCCGCTTTTGCTCCTTTGTTTTTTGCTTCAGTTACTTCTATATTCCTATTCGCTTATAGGATTATTCTATTGCTCCTACTAATAATACGAAACTGCCAAGCCCTGTCTAATTGTGACTCTCTACCACCCTGCCAAGCAATTAATTGCTGACTGTAACCTTGCTGTTTCGGGCTATGTTTTTGGGCTATTTGAAGTCTCGACCTTTTTGGTTTTATGGGAGTTTCTGGTTACGCCATTAATACAAGAGTGTGCATATCACTCAAGCTAAAGCCTAACCCAGGGAAACCCACAACAACCCATAAATCTTACAGAAAGGAAAAGGGTGGGAGAAGGCAAACAAACAAGGTCTGCATATGGGAATCTCTAATCTAAATGGATAGTCAATGAACAATGCTGTGAATGGTGAAGGAAGAAGGGAAGAAAAGGGAGGGTGGGGTGGGTGGGTATTGGATCTTTGCCTCCTTATCTTCTTCCCAGTTTTGTTTCTTTGCATTTTTTTTTTTCGTTTCTCACATGATTAATTAAAATTAATTCATTCGTTTCATCCTGAAGCTGTCTGCTTTTCATTTAATAATAGTTTAATCGTTATAATATGGCTTCTGTTTAGTGCCCTAATGATCACATCATGCTTACTCACCAAGAAGAAAATTCAGTTCAGACTTCTATTTTTGCTGTTTTTGTTGAATTCTTTCTTTCTCTGTATTTCTTTTTGGTAGAAAAGGTTGTTCCTTCCATTTGGGGGAAGAGAGAGACAGAGAGAGAGAGTGAGTGAATTGGATTGGTTACATGGGTGGGTGTGGGGACAAAAATACTTGATAGACAATTGGCAACCACAAATTTTGTTTTCTGGATTTTTATTTCCATTTATTTTTTTATTTATCTGCTGGGTTTAGTTTTTTCTTCCAAATTCCTTATCCAGCAATACAACGAAAGAATGTACAAAAACCAAACCGATAATGGGTCCCTTCACTAATCCTTTCTCCAATTGACAGGGTGGAACAGAAGAACATTATTTTGTGAATAATGGAAAAAATTTCAAAGTACACATGTTCTAAAAAAAAAATCTCAAAATACATAAGTTATAAAAAAATTTCCAAAACTACACATGTTTGGTATTCACCGTTTTTTCAAACGCAGTGAAGGCTATCACCGCGTTTGACAAGAACGGTGAGTATTAGGCACGTTTTCAACCCCCGTTAGGTGAAAATTAGGTATGAGCTACCTAATGTTCACCGTTTGAGACAAACGCGGTGATGGTCTTCACCGTGTTTGACCAAAACGGTGAACATTAGGCAGATTTTAGTATAAATACCAGCCCACCAGCACTTACAGAAACATAACCACTCCCCCCTCTTCAAATTTCAGCAACCAAAACCGAGCATAATACACAGCCGGGGAATTTTCGGTATGATTTATTTTCCGTATTATAGGTTAATGATGCGTTTTTAGTAGTTATAGTATGATTTAATTTTCGTATTATAGCGTAATGATGTTTTTAGTAGTTAGATTGTTATGTTATTATGAATTACTTATCGTAGCAATTGTAGTACTTAATTTTTGAATTTATGCTGTTGTTAGTTAGTTGAATTTATGTTACGTTAGTTATGAGATGAAGTACTATTAGTCGTACAATAATATTTTTAGTAGTTATATTGTTATGTTATTATGAATTACTTATCGTAGCAATTGTAGTACTTAATTTTTGAATTTTTGTTGTTGTTAGTTAGTTGAATTTATGTTACGTTAGTAATGAGATGGAGTAATATTAGTCGTACAATATGGTTTTTAGTAGTTATATTGTTATGTTATTATGAATTACTTATCGTAGCAATTGTAGTACTTAATTTTTGAATTTATGCTGTTGTTAGTTAGTTGAATATATGTTACGTTAGTTATGAGATGGAGTAATATTAGTCGTTCAATATGGTTTTGGTTAATTTTACTGTCTTTAAACTAATAGTTACACTTGTTGTAAATTGTAGATATGGGTAAATTCAAGAAGTTTCGACTTATTATTCGGTGGAATGGAAGGGTGACAAACTCTGACATAGGGATTGATTATGAGAACGGTGAATCCACTATGCTGAAAATTGAGTCGCGATTCAATTTTCAAGAACTCCGTGATATTTGTGCAGACAGGGTTTGTACGAGCGGACAGACGAGACTTGGCAAAATTAGTTACCGGTATCCAGACATGAGTGCTGGCGGGGTTGTGTACCAAGAAGTTGTCATGAACGATGATGACGCGGTTACGATGATGTTGGAGTTCCTAAGCGATAACGGGATGCGGCTTGCAGAGGTTTATGTTGAGACCGAGGCGGTCGGTGAAACTCATTCTCACCAGTATTCTTATGATGATGGTTTTGCAGGAGGGTACGGATGGGGTGGTAGTTCGAGCAACTACGAAGGAGGTGGTTATACAGGAGGTTATGGAGAGGGTGGTAGTTCAATCAACTACAGTGGAGGTAGTAGTGCAGGATGGGTGCCGTCGGAAGAATACTCGCAACAGGATCAACCTGCCGATGGCGTTCAATGGCCTGCTTGGGGGCCTGAGTGGGCTGAAAACGAGAAAACCATTCGAGCAGGGCGTACTTCAGTTGAGCGAGAAGACGATGTTGGTGATGGTGGTCATGTTGATCCTTCTGGGCCGAGCTATCCATTTGACTCAAGCGACGAGGATACTAAGGAAGATTTGAGATCAGTGAGCGAGGAGGAAGATACTGATGATAACGACGACGAGGCGACATTTCGTGAGGCACCCACGCCATACTACACACAGGTTCCAAATCAATTACTAGATAGTCAGAATGATGCCCCCGACTTTGTCCCTATGTCAGTGTATAATCTGACGGCCGATTTGGAGGTGGGTATGACGTTCTAATCGAAGGACGCTGTGCAGGATGCCTTTACCGAAGAGGCCTTGAGGCGCAACTTCGAGTGGAAGGTAAAATATTCTGACAGTAAACAATTACATGTCATATGCAAGAATGATGCAGAGGGTTGTACGTGGCAACTGCGGGCTGCAAATATGAAGAGAAAGGTTGCCTGGGTGATTCGAAAAGCTGAGACCAACCACACTTGCTCCTCGTCCATACGTTCCCAGGATCACAGGCAACTTAAAGCAAAGAAAATTGGGAGAACTATTAAACACCTTATCGAAGCACAACCACATATCAAAGTCAAAGCTATCATGGCCGAGGTGAAGGATCGACATTCTTACACGATAAGGTACAAAAAAGCATGGCATGGAAAGCAGAAAGCCATGGCTGAGGTGTATGGTGATTGGGAGGATTCGTATGCTTTACTCCCTAGACTTATGGCCGCAATGGAGGTGTCAAACCCTGAGACTGTTTTCGTGCCAGCATACAACAATGTATACACTGAGGATCAAGTTCGAGTACAGGAGAAGTTGATGTTTCACCGTATTTTTTGGGCTTCAAACCATGCATTGACGGGTTTGGGTTCTGCATACCGGTTATTCAGGTATTTAAATACGTGTTTACTATTTGAAATGTTTCTATTCTTGCAGACCAAGTAAATTTCATACTAATTACTTCCTAATATTTAATTAGGTTGATGGAACCTTCCTTACTGGGAAGTACAAAGGAACTCTTCTCATTGCCACTGGCGTTGATGGAAACAGGCGGATTTTCCCCCTTGCATTTGCAATAGTGGAAGGGGAGAACAACTTAAGTTGGGAATGGTTCTTTGACCAACTACACGAGCACGTGACACAGCGGGAGGGTATTACGATTATATCCGATAGACACGCGGGGATTAGGAATGCCGTGGGTGGTTTTCCTGACGAGTGGGGATGGACATGGCGCTGGTGTATTCGACACTGGCTCGCCAACTTCCAACACAAATTTGGAAAGAAGAAAGACATAAAAAAATCAATTATGGCATGCAGGTACTAATGTACTTTAATGCGAGCTATCTATGTGTTTAATAATTTGTTTTATTGACCATTTCTATATTGTTCACCTTGCAGCGGTTGCACATCAGCCAAAAAAGTACGAGCAGAAGATGAAGGCGATCCGTCAGACTCACCGAGCTGGAGCAGTATGGGCTGAAGGTCAAGAATTGGCCATGTGGACGTTCCATATGGACAACGGGGCCAGATGGGGCATTGCAACTACTAACCATGGAGAAAGTATAAATAATGTGTACAAGGGTCTTCGAGCGATGCCTATTTCTGTCATAGTGGAGATGTCATACTGGAAGGTCAACGAGTGGCGGGTGGCTCGGCTGCAGCTAGCGATTGGGAGGGAGATATCTGGTCATCCGATAGCTCATGACGTTTTTGAGCAAATGCAGAAGAACGAAGAAAAATCAAGTAAGCATAAAGTTGTTCTTTTCGATCGCAGTGAAGGGATATTTGCAGTGGAAACCGGTGTATGGGGTGGAGGTAGACGTGGCCACAATTGTAAAACGGTTACTCTGCACTACGAATCAGGGGAGTGTACATGTCAAAAATATCAAAACGAGAGAATCCCCTGTTCACATGCAATGGCAGTAGCTAAGTCGTTAACCATGAACAGAAACACTCTGGTGAGTCCTTACTACACTGAACAGGCGATACGAAACTCATATGATGCAGCTTTGAGTCCCATGCCAGATGAAGTGTATTGGCCTATATACGCTGGGAAGTTGATTATCCCACCGTTGCACCTAAAACGCACAAAGGGTCGTCCCAGAGTTGAAAGAATACACAATGAGATGGATCAAGTTGAACGCACGAGGCGGGGACCAAAGTGATGCTCAAAGTGCAGACAACCTGGTCATGAAAAGAGGTGTTGCCCAGGCCAACCACTCCAGCATGATGCGGATATAACCGAGGACCAATGATGTACAAGACATCTATCTTAATATTCATTTACTTGTAATGCTGTACTAAATTGTAAGCTTGTTTGAATTTTCATTATCCCGTTGTCTAAAACACTCTGTTTAATTTTCATTACCACGTTATTCACTTAAAAATGTTCTCCTTGTCGATACGATCGCGTAGCCGCAAACGGCTCGTTATTTCGATGCCAAACGAATAAGATAAGTTCGTTTTAGTTTTAGGTACGCAAAAGTTACTCTAACGACATGTGCAGCTTTGAACTAACTTATCTCACTCGTTTTAACTCGGAATTGAGATCTGTAAAATTTTACATGATTGTGATTGATTTTCCCAAGTTTTTCGTGTTGAGCTTAGATACTAATTCTTGATAAATTGATGCATAAAAATAAAACAAAAAAATGTCATCAATAAAGTGTTTCAATGACAACTTAAGTGCATAGGATAGTTTTTAGACAATGCAAACTCAAATCACAAGACCTAAAAATTTTAAAAACAACATGGATAACTCAACAACAATGAAAACTCAAACTCAAATCACTGGTTTTCTTCATTTGGTTGCCCCTCATTTTGGCCCTCCGCTCGCCCTCCTCCTCGTCCTCCACGACGTCCTCGACCCCTTCTTCCACCTCCTCCTTCTCCTTCTTGGCGAGCTCGCTCAACGACTTGTCGTGGATTTCTCTTAACCCGAGCCCCTACTGGAGTTACAAGTGGCGGTGAAGGGGGCTGAGATGGACCGGTAGCCTGCTGGTAGGTCGGGCGGTGAGGGGTTTGTTGATGCGGGGTGTGATACATCGAACTCTGTTGCTGATGGTGGAAATGGGAAAAATTTTGTTCACTCTGAGATGAACCTCCAGCGACATCCGATATAGGTGCCCACTCGTACTCAAATGGTTCAGGGAGCTCGGTTTCTTGAGTTGTACGCACCTCTTCGAATGTAGGGAGAGGCCTGCGTTTGCTCCTTCGTGGGGGCTCAACCGGGGGCACAATGGGCTCACCATCACGGAATGATGGGCGTGTCGGAGCGGGAATTGGAGGATAGGCCACGACATCCCTCCTCTGCTCTCGAGTACAACTCAAGAGGTTGTTCATAAGCCTTCGCAGCCAAGAAGTTTTCGGCTCATCCATGCTTGGAGCACTATCGAAGGTGTGTTTGGCGTGTTCCAAACAATCAACCTAAGCAATCCACATAATAAAACAAAATTAATTAAACCTCAAAACAAATAATTAGAGTCACGCGGGAGATTAGGATGATTTACCAACGAACCCATCACAACACCTTGCTTTGACACCCATCGATTGGTGAACTTCCGGTACCACTGCATGTACCCATCGTGGTAGCCCATCGGTCTCGCCTCCGGCATCCCTTGGACCACCCATGTCCTTCTATTCTCCCATATGTTGATGTAGTACTGATGCTTTACGATCCAATTCTTGGAGGCGTGTCGGAGGTCGATGGCATGTAGCTCTCTGAAACCTGAGGCGGTTTTTGTGGAATTGGTTGCTCCATTCGATATTGCCTCAAGGATCGATCGGGTAGGTGCCACTCCACGATGTGCCAACAGATCAATGGCACCTTGCACAACCACGTCTCGTGATCCATAGGGTTTCTAAGATGATACAGTTCGACCACTTCACGTGGATATGGATCCCAAGTAACCTATATTCATTCAAATAATGCAATTAGCGACCATTTACCTTGAAAAATTGAAACTTGTTAAAATATGATAAAGCATGATTACCTGATTCCACCAAGGCTTATCTAACTCAAAACGATAGAACAATAACGAATGCTCAGGTTGATGGTCATTCGTATTTGCTCCTATCCACCTTGTAAGTAAAAGCATGGAATAAATTGAAATTAGGCTAAGTACGAATTAAATTCAATTTAAATCTAGCTAAGCATGGTATAAATCTAGCTAAGCATGGTATAATTTTAAATTAGGCTAAGTACGGAATAAATTCAATTGAAATCTAGCTAATCCTGGAATAATTTTAAATTAAGCTAAGTACGGAATAAATTCAATTGAAATCTAGCTAATCATGTAATAATTTTAAATTAAGCTAAGTACGGAATAAACTTACTTGACACCGTAAGGGGGATATTGCAGAAAGTTTAGCTCATCATCGGCTCCCCGGTATGGAAGTGGGTCTTGAGGTGCGAAAATTGGAAGATGCTCCCATACCCACAGCTGTAGGATAAACATCGCAGCACCAGCTTGTTTTGCTCCCACCTTCGAGCGAGTGCACAACTCCCGGTATATGCCAGCTAACACGGCCGATCCCCAGCTCTTTTCCCCGATTGCGTCCCAGTCACCAGTGAGTAATGGCAACCATATGCCTTGAATCCACCGGTTGACTTGTCGGGGAACAGAAATCCACCCACCAGACCAATGAGGTAGATGCGTGCATAGCGCTCCACTTGATCTTCCGGAGTCTCGTCATCGATTTGCACCTCATTCTGGATGTGAGCTACCAGCCATGGGACCGACACTTGTCCCGCATTCAACGGTGGATGACCCCGTCCTTGAATTGGTGTGGTGGTCGGCATGTCGAATCCCAACTCAGCAAGAATGAACGGCTCCCAACCTCCTTCGGGTTTGGTAGAAACATCAATGATGGCATCTCCAGTAATCGGCAGCCCGGTGAGGATCGCCACGTCTTTGAGGGTGATCATCATTTCCCCCTCCGGAAGGTGGAACGTATGGGTTTCGGGACGCCATCGCTCCGCCATTGCCGTAAGCAGATCGTTGTCGATTTCGATCCGCATGAAATGGCGCAACATACCCAACCCGGTCCTCTCTATATAGGGCGCCAACCGTGGATGCCAAGGGGGCAAGTTTGTGGTCCTTATGAACGACGGGAATAAGTGATTCCTTCAAAAAAATAGGAAAAACATCAATTTGTTAGTTTAAATAAAGCAAAATAAAACCTTAGAAAATAATAAAATAAAGCAAATAAATCATAAAATTACCGGATTGTTATCCCAAATCGCACGGGAGCGATGAGCTTCTTGATCGGTTAAGAGTCTCACATCTCTTGGCCCATAATGGATATACAATCGAGGATCGTATATCTCGGCACCCATCTATAAAAAAGTAATCAAATCAGAGATTGTTTTGATAAAAAAATCACAAAATCAAATTTTTACGATTAAAAATAAGAACACCAAAAAAAACCTACACGAAGAGCCTCTTCGTCCATTTTTTGGCAGAAGCCGGACAGAGGTTCGACGGGTTCAGGTTTGTAAGGGACGGGACCTTAGCGGGACGGGGGCTTTATGGTCAAACTCTAGTAATTCTTTCTGATGTGGAAGATCGGATTTATCCGCAACCACATAGCATACTTAGAACGAGACTAGAGCGGATAAATTGAGGGAGAAAGAAGTGAAATGGTTGTGGTGTGAGTTGTAAGTGGTGGGGGAAGGGTCTATTTATAGTTGGGGGAAGGGATCTGCCGAATGAAACAGGGGAGCATTCACCGCGTCAGTCAGAAACGGTGAAGTCACCGCGTTTCTCGAGGACGGTGAATGGGCGCGGATCGAGTGACGTGGCTTAGCGTGAGGCGTCGGATCTGGAAAGAAAACCACGATCCGCACCTCACTGCATCCGACGGCGACGGTGAACGCGGCAGCGACGCGGATCGCTGACGCAAACAAACACGGGGTATTCACCGTGTTTGTTTCACGCGGTGAATACACCGCGTTTGTCCACGTCAGCGATCCGCTTCGCTTCATCGTGGCCAATCACAGCGGTTTAAATATCACCGCTTTTTATTAAACAGTGATTGATTCACCGTTTCCGTCTAAAACGGTGATTGCCTCGCTGGTTCTTCACCGTTTTAAATGAAGACGGTGAATATGTCACCGTTTTGTTTTTAAACGGTGAATTATTCACCGCATTTGTCAAACACGGTGATTATCTTCACTGCGTTTGTCAAAAACGGTGAATGCCAAACATGTGTATTTTGGGAAAATTTTTTTATAACTTATGTATTTTGGGAATTTTTTTTAAGAACATGTGTACTTTGGGATTTTTCCGTGAATAATTGAAGTTTTCATTAGCATACCCACGGAATTGGTTATACGAGTAATAAGTTTTGATCTTTCAGAAGCCAGGGCAGAAGGGTTTCGTGGAGGACCAAAAATCTTTCACCTCCTCTTTGGAGGTGAAAACATATTGTTTTGTTGTATCTGGTAGAGATTAAGGGTGGGTGCTAAAGAAAATTTTGGAAATCTACGAAGTTGAATTGGGTCAGCAAATAAGCCTCGTAAAATTTGAATTGTACTACAGTGCTAGTGTGGAAACAAGTCGAGAGAGGAACTTGCAAACGTGTATATGAAAAAGGTGTTATGTCACTAGAAAGTAGAAATACTTAGGACTTCCCACCAAAATAGGAAGAACAAAAAAGGCAATTTTGCCAATCTGGTTTACAAAGTGAGAAAGAAAGTTACGATGTGGAAGATCTAGTCTTTATCAATAACAGCAAAATAAATCCTTATCAGATTCATTGCTCAGGCTCAAGCTACATATGCCATGGCCATTTTCCTCATTCCATTGGTGATTCATTTTTATTTGGGTTTTGGTGGGGTAGAAGAGGGAAGAAGGAGAATCCATTGGATTACCTGGGAGAAATTGTGTTTACCAAGGAGGAAGGAGAATTGGGTTTCGGGACTTGAGGAATTTTAACCCGAAAGCAAGTTCGGAATCTTAAGCAGTAACCAGAGTCCATAGTGGCGTGAGTGTTTAAAGCAAAGTACAATATGAGTTTGGATATTCTAACAATAGAAGAGGAGGGAATATGATGAGGTAGGGTTTGGGCTTAAGGGTTAGTAGGTTAATGGGTTAATTAGTATTAGCAAGTTAGGTAGTTAGTAGGGTGTTGCTCTGATACCAATTGATGAACAAAAGACTCCTATCTTACTTACTACTGATACAATTGATGAACAGAAGACTCCTATCCTACTTGCTACTCTAATACCAATTGATGAACAAAAGACTCCTATCCTACTTACCACTGTACAATTGATGAACATAAGTGTTTGAGCCTGGAATGTTCCAGACGGTTTATGAAGAACGAGCAAAGCGTCTGTTCCAGAGGGTGGGTGTACTCCAAACTCCTGCAAAACAAGGGTCAGTGGGCGGTCACCCCGGACACCCTCCGATGCTAAAGTTAGAGAGAGAAGAGAAAGGTTTTTGTTTATGTTTAGAGAGAGAAAGTAGTTGAGTTACCATCAATGAAGATATGAATGTATATAGTCAGTTAGCTTGGGTTTGAGCATTAAATACCATGTCAGGCGCCCTAGACACTCCTCGCTTTATCTAGACCGCCCGCGGCGGGCAATTAATGCTTAGTCCTGCAGTGTTCGATGCGAGTATCCTAGGAAGATCTTCTCTTCCTGCCGCCAACGACACTTTGTGTCGGGCGGCCTACTCCCTGTCCCATCATAGAGTGACCGCCTGCTATTCTCGTTTCCCTATGTCCACACCTTCCCTGGGCTTCTCGTTGGGCCTCGCCCGAGTCCCTCTTTCGGGCCTTGCCTGATCGATTCCTTGTGGGCTTTAAGCCCAACACTGCTCAACTATGGGCCCAACAAGAAGACTCCTATCCTACTTACTACTCGGCCCATGCAACACCCTCCTAACTGCCTAACTTACTAATACTAATTAACCCATTAACCTACTAACCCTTAAGCCTAAACCCCACCTCATCAGAATAACCAAAGTTACCTATGACGAAGCTGGATGGCCACAAAGGAAGCTAAGACCAACTCCAATGCAAGCTCCCAAATTTGGGGATCTTCATCCCCAAATTTGGGGTTCATCCCCATTTTTCCTTCTTTTGCTCCAATGCTACATCCTCTATATTTGGAGATCTCCATTTTTTAAGTTTTCCATTTACTTAAAAATGTACTTATCAAAGTCTTAATATAATTTGTTCATGTTGATTTTTGTATAGTTCGTCATCATTTTTAAATACAAATTTTCTGGTAGAAATTTTTTTAATTTTGAGACCAAATTTTTGTTGACAAAAAATGATTGATCTAATTTGGGTTTACACACAACACTTAAAAATTATTGATCTAATTACACCCCTAACTAATCCCCTAATTAAACCTCAATTAACCCTTAAAATCTTAAAAAGAAAAAGAAATGCCACGTGGCGGGCTTTGGGGATTCTCTATATTTGGGGGAACCCCCATTTCCACCCCCAAATTTGGGGATCATTTTGGAGATCTCCCCCAAATATAGAGACTCCTCCATTTATAGAGGTTCCATTGAAGCCAACTTTCCCCCAAATATAAAGGCTCCTCCAAATATAGAGGCTCCATTGGAGTTAGCCTAAGAAGGTTGGAATCCGGTGACAAATTGGTACCAGATAAGGTGTCACAATCTGGTGGGAGAAATAGTTACTGGATTCTAACACTTTTCGTGTCGAATGCCCTATAATAACTTTAAGAATGCAAGCTAAGGTATCTATCAAAACTTATCTATACTGAAACAATAACTTAGAAGAGAACGGTTCTACTGAATCATTTCAATACTATGGATAAAAAGAGAATTTTGAGGATTCCTTTAGCAATAACACTGACAAAAGACTGCCTAGTGTAGGGCTAGAGAAGTCTGAGAGTTATACTGTGAAGTCAGAATACTGTAATTGGATGAAAAGAGAGTGAGAGTTACGAAAGGGGAACCATATATTCCCATTGGCTGGGATCGAACCTGGAAATTACATATCCTCTTCATGGTGAAATTCTTTTGGGTCAAGATAGGGAAGGAATATACTGCCCACCAGGGCCAATCTCAGCAAATTACTAATGGAAACAGGCTATGAATGCATATTTTTGTGGGCTAAAAGACACCCAAGAACATATACTATGACATTGTGAATGGGTAAGTCGGATATAGAGGAAGAGTCAATTCCAAGTTTGGTTCAAAAAAGGAGATGAGAAAGGAAGTGAGTAATGGCTATGTGAAGTTTTGGAGCAAGCAATGAAGTAATAGATGACGACCTAGGTTGATTTTCTTATTGCCATGTGGTCAATTTGGAAGGAATGAAACAATCATTTGTTTAAAAACCATAAGCTAGAAGAATGTGAGGTGATTGGAAGAGCGGAAGGTTACCTAGAAGAGTACTTGAAAGTGCAGTAGAAGAACGAAGCCAATTTATGGGACTCCACTGAATGCTAGACTGATAGGCCACCTATTTTTTGGAAAAAACTTAGCAGCATCCTGGGATGCAGCCACAAGCGGCTACCCCTCCACATGTCTCCCACCTATTGGTTCCCAATTTCCTTTTATGTTTAATTATTAAATATGCTCATCAATTAGTTTAAAATTTGGAGAGGGATAATGGAGCCGTCAAACACCCACCGGCCACCACTACCCTACAATTGATTTCCCCTCCCCATCTAATAAAAAACTTGGCTCTCTCTGCCTTTCCCTGCCCTCACAAAAACACACCAATTCACTATCTTTTTTTTACTCTCATGCAAACCCAAAGCAGCAGTCTGCAAAAGGCCAGAATAGTGGCCTCGGTCACTGTACGCTTACAGAAGGAAGTATGATGCTCGAATCTAGCTTTAAAATTCCAAAACATCAAGTCTGATATAGGAAAATAAATTGTTCTCAATGAATGGTACCAATACAAATATTCTGATACATCATATATCCCCCACTAAACCCTCAAAAAATGTCTAAACAATTAATGTATGGAAACATAAAAAATAGGACCAACTTAATGACACTTTATTCCACTTGAGATACTTCTGGAGAACATCGTTTGTCACTGTTGCAGACCATCAAAAGGGGAGTTCGCTATTGCATCATGAAAAATTAAATAAAATAATAATAATAATAATAATAATAATAATAATATAGCATTAGTATTATTTTAATGAAATCAACTAAAATAAATAAGAGAATCGACTTCGAACTTGTAACAATTGTGTGTGATATATTGTTGAAACAAATTGTAGAATCCAAGTTCTCTGTTGTTGGCCTAATAATTGAACTTTGAGGCTGATGTTCCACCTAGTCCATTTAGTTGATCATGTTTAGAGTTCATTATAGAAAAAAGACAACAGTTTTCTTCGAAATATAAAATAGACCAAGAAAAACCTGATAATTTTGGATTTGCAGTTCTGTTTTGCTTCCAGCCACTTGTTCAGAGCAATTAGTTTTCTTCTTCTTACCCTTTGCATATAATAGTATATAAAGACTAGTTAGTTAATGAACTATGATAGTATAATAAATGTATTTTATAAAAGAAAACAAAGATGAACACAAACCTGTGGTTTTGATTGGACTTTATGATTTTTTCGACGTTCTAATGCACCTTTGATCCTCCCTTTCGGCCGCCCTACTGTTGCTTTTGTCTTAACTCCGGTTACAACTTGCTGGTCTTTTTCATGATCGGAGCACATATCCTTAGGAGAAGTTCCAACATTTGAAATTTTTCTCCTTCCCTGCAAATCTTTCAGCAAATTTGAAAAAACCTCACTTGTATGCTCATACATTGTGTCATTCTCAGCTGCCAATGTGCATATCTCTCGAAAATTATAATGTAGATTGCAGTAACGCTTCCCAATAAGTTTCTCTGAACTTCCTTGTACTCGAGCTGAACATCTTATATCTCCATCTTTTGCCTCCTTTGTCCATCTCTTTAATATATATCGTCTTGGGATTTGCTTCATATTTTTCTTATCTAGAACCTTCAAAGCATGAGCACATAGAATTCCCACAAACTCAAACTTCTTGCAACTGCAATCAATTGCTTGAGACGAAGTCTCAAACTGGACACGATGCTCTGTGCCTCTACCTGCATATCTCACTTTATATTCTACCTGGACTTCGTTTTTGTTGATCTTATCAATATCAATAGTACAATCCAAAACTTTGACAAACTCTTCTTGAAACATCTTGAACACTTTAGGAGTATACACCTCTGATGCGTGTCTTAACATCTCAACATCTGCTTGTAACACTGGGCTGGTGTCCCTCATTTTGAACTCTGCAAGTAGTTCCTGATACCTTCTATCTTCTACCAACTGAGCATAATGATCAAAAAAGTATGACATATTGTGCTTAGGCTTCAAATAATTTTTCAACACATTATTCATCGATTCACTACGCTGAGTACTCTTCATATCAGCTATAAAATATGACGTCCATAAACCATCGCCCACTTTTCTCTTATTGAGAATATCCCATGCAACCATTCACTATTTCTCAAATTATACTTGGTAAGCATATCATCCCAACCTTTATACCACTCCTCTTCATCTTCATAGTCATATACACACGCACTAAAATCCTTAGCAAACTGGTCGGACGCATTGAACACATGACTCAAGTATTTAGCAGCATTTTGATAAATATGCCAGATGCATAAACGATGATGGGTTTCAGTAAATACCTCTTCAATTGCTTTGGCCATAGCAGCTGATTGATCTGTTGATATGGTTTTGGGTTGATTTCCAGCCATTGCAATCAAGAATGTTTCAAACAACCACTTGAAAGATGAGATGGTCTCATCATAAAGTAATGCTGCTCCGAAGATTACTGTATGCTTCAGATGATTAACTCCAACAAACGGAGCAAAAGGCCGACCATATTCATTGGTACTGTAAGTTGTATCAAAACATACAACATCACCAAAGTACTTGTAATCAATTATTGACCTACATCTGCCCAAAACATATTCATAATAAGATCATCATCATCAAGTTGCACCAAGTAAAAGAATGATGGGTCCTCTGCTTGTGCTTTACGAAAATAATCCATGATTGCCTAGCCGTCTCCTTTGATCATTGTAGCCTTTCTCTTTGTACCAATATAATTTTGATAGTCTTTATCCAGAAAACCATTGTGTTCACGACCTCCATTCTGCACTGCTAGTAAATTAATAGTTTTTTTGATTGGTAATCTAGCTTTCTCAGCATCATCTGCAATAGCTTTCTGAGCATAACTTATCTTCCTGTTAGACCTCAACATATGCTTCATTGGAGTGGGTGCAAGATCATGGTTATGATTTGCTTCAAAAGAAACAATCTTGAGCATGCCATCAATTTTCAATTGGCAGGTCATTCGTGCTAAGCAACCTATTCTTGAAATCGGCCGTTCATAGGCTACATGCTCACGCATTTTATCAAAACCTTTTTTCCCTTGCTTTGAACAAGAATATATTCTTCTCTTCACTTGTCCTTCTTTTGTTCGCTTGACTTGATGCTTCTTTACGCTGAAACCGACACTATGTGCATATGCCTTATAAAATTCATAAGCATTGTCATCCCCATCAAACTTCATACCTATGTGTGGTACCTCAATCTTTTCATTAATCTGATTGACATGCTTTTTGAAAGTTTCTTCGGGAGTCCTAACATCTGTTGATGAGAAAAATTACATAAGATAAAAAACTCATCATAATCCATTTACTAATGCTATCGTTAATCATTAAACTAGAAAATTCAATGAGTAAACCAAAGACTTAAAATACATGCATCACAAAGGGGGGAAACCAGGCAACAGTATTGATAAAATCCCCAAACCATAAATAGAAAACAAATCGATACATGCATCACAAAGGGGGGAAACCAGGCAACAGTATTGATAAAATCCCCAAACCATAAATAGAACACAAACCGATAATAGGCAAAGGAGAAAGACAAAATAATTTATGAACACAATAGTAGTAAATATAAAAACTATTCATACACTATAAACCGATGATGTACAAAGGAAAAGGACAAACATGATAAAAAAAATCCACCATGATTTTATGTTCATCCAAACTTTTCTATTGGGAAAAGCAATTGATAAAAGAAATAGCTAACCTGACTTAGGAGAGACATGTCCAATGCATACAGAGATTAACTGAATAACAGTAGATGAAGCAGAGACAGTAGCTACGTCGGCGTTGATTTTCGTGCAGTTGTGCTTATGGACGTCGTGCGATGCTATAGAGCAGAGAGAAAGTAAACCTAAAAGGAATAAAAATATTTAAAGTAAAGTTAAAACTTAAAATAATTCCACACCGTGACGGCTCCGTTACCCCTTCTATAGCATTAAACATATTTAATAATTAAACATAAAAGGAAATTGGGAACCAATAGGTGGGAGACATGTGGAGGGGTAGCCGCTAGTGGCTGCATCCCAGGATTTTGGCCCAGCAGCTGCTGGTTGATGGTAACTATTCTATTTATACTAAAACTGAATAAATTTTACAAACTGATGATAAAAAAAATATAAAATGATTAAAGTGGTGTGCAAGGGCAGACTAGCTTGCGGAGAGGTGTGTCAACTAATACAACTCCGTCTGGAATTTTGGTGAAAATTATATTTTCGTTGGTACAAAACTTCGAACTCAATATCTTATACATGCTTATGTATACATATTCCTGACCATTTCTTCGCCGTTTATCCTAGAATCTCTTTTTCCTGATTTTATGTTAGGTTGTGTTCTTTTGTCATAATTCATGTCCTATCATATGGAGAAGGCTTGAGAGCGAGTTTTAGGGAATTTGAAAGTAGTAAAAGGACCAAGGAGAGAAAAAAGGAGAATTCAAGGTCAGCAGCCTCAAAGTCACGGTCATGAAAATCTCAATGGTCGTGGATTTCGTCCAGAATCTTGGAAAAAAAACACAGCATGTCCACAAAAGTCACGACCAAAACTTTGGAATTCACCCTAGAGTAAAGGTGGCTAGAACTACTCGAGGTATCTGAATATCACTATGAGCTAGTATAGGATCCTAAGCCACAACCACCTTGGCGATCCCCCAACTCTCTGGTGTGTATCCTTCCGGATGGCCAGGTGGATTTGACTCTTTCGGATGGCTATTCATTGCGGGTACATGTAGGGGTGAACAAAACAACCTTTAAACCGACCCCACGGTCCAACCCGACCCAGCCCACCCGTATTTATTGCTAAAATTAGGATTTATGTTTGGGTGAGGGTTTTATTTTGTACAATCCGCCTCTATTAGGTTGGGTCCGGATTTTTCTCTTGTGGTTTCCCTAACGTAATACATTCTTCTACTAAAAATTTAGACGTATATCTAATATATGCTATAATTCACACAATTTTTTGAGTGTACGATTTTAGAAGAATAATATATTATGAATGCATTTTTTTATAATCATTTGAGTCTATTTCGACAAATGTTTGTGGGAAAAACTAAACCTATTTTGAAGCAAATTGTATTTTGTTAAAAATGCAAATACCATTTATGCATTTTGATACCTTTCGTATTGATTTATGTGTTTAAAACTTTGATTGTTTAGAATAGTTTTGTTGTTGTTGTTGTTGTTGTTTTGGGTTGGATTTTTAGCTAAAAGTATCTCCAACCCGACCCAACCCAACCCAACCCAACCCAATTATAAACAAATCGTAGGGTTCTAAATTTTTTGGGTGGGTTTGGATTTGATATTATTAAAATCGTAGTGTATGGGTCTGATGATTAAAATGAACAAAACCAAACCACCCGACCCATGTAAACCCCTAGGTATATGACCACTATCTGAAGTAGTACCTCAAGAATGATGTAGATAAAATCTTGGCAAAATCCTATTCTAAGACCCCTTAGTGCACTCAAATGCATCCATCTAAAGACGTAATATAAGCACTTGTTGGAAGGCAACCCTACGCATCGGTTTGCATTTTCTCGCCGGAGTCAAAACCTAACTTGTCGGAATCCTCTGTTTTCTAATGAAACTTCGCAAAAAAAAAAAAAAAAAAAAAGAAATCCCACCTCCGACCATCAAATTTAAAAATCAAGACTAGACACAAATTTACCCTCTCCTAGGCGCTCCTCGCATATTTTCTTAGCATCATCGCCGACGGTTGGTCATCGCTGGCAACGACTCCTCTCGTTGGAGCGATTTTTTTGGCCACCAAAATCTAGGATTTTCCTGCAAATTTTCGCCTCCCTCACCTTTCCCACCCCTTTCCATAGTTAATACTTGTGTTTTCAAGTATTTTATCCTCTTGTTTCATCTTTAATCATGGAAAATCGACAATTCAAGTTCTCAGGTGTGGAATTTGGTACTTCTTGAGTAATTGTCTGATTTAGGTGAGGGAATTGGTTTAGGATGCTTATAAATTAGAATTGATGCTTTGATGCTTGTATGAAGCCTTGTTGGGAATATTTTCTTGTTTTTCTTGTTCTTACCGAACGCCCCCATGTGTTCGATAAATTGCCGATGCTTGGTACCATTTTGTGGAGTGTGATTCATGATTTTACATTAATGATTTAGGATTGTTATTACCTTCAATATATTGTATCATTCACCTATTATCATGCCTATGGATTTGTTTTGCACGATTGTGCTCCTCGTTTGCTATGTTAAGCTTGTTTAACCCCTATGGCCACCATACCAACCATGTTTTGCGCATAAGTGAGGGAGAGGTTTTACCTCCTCCGGAATTTCATTTCTAACACTTACACTATGTATGGTATGTGCTTCATTATTTTTCCAGGACATGGCGAACCGAACTCATCCCTACCTTCTCGGACTAGAGGCTAAACTGGGACTTGTACGAGATGTTCCACTGAAGGGTTGCGATCAGCTCCATCATCCTTCATAATGGTTAGAGGGAGCTCCTATGTTTTCATTGCGACATTTATAGGGAGCGCACAATGAAGTTCTTCAACAAGTTCGATTTGTCCAAAATGAAATGCACCACCGAGGATGAGGAAATCATCTTCAGGCTGGGTGGAATCACTCAGTCCATGATTTATGATGTTTTTTATACCCTTGAAATCCTTTCAGATGTCGATGCACAGACGTTGGTCGAGAAGTCCACTCATAGCTTCAACTTCCATTCCTTCTTTAGATAGATTTGTTGGGTTCCCTTCCAGACAGAGTCTTCACCCCATCAAATCCATCCAATTGAAAACAAATTTGGGTGAAGTCATATGGGCAAACCCGCCAACATCACTACTTGAACTAACACGAGAGAGGTACTAACAACCACCACAGATGGCATTCAAACACATCAAGTTCATGACAGTGATAACTCCTCATCATACTTGGAAAACCTCATGCAAACACAAGTAGTCAACTAGAGCCCCCCAACTATTCAAACAAAGAAATTAAGTCACACATAATGAGAAGTTAAGCAAAGTATGTCCTCATCGAGATTTATAATATTGACATGAATTAGTCAACACTCGACCAGTGGGGTCAGGTGCATAGTATATTTATGTGCATGTATGTGGCAATATTAATGCAAACCAAATTAAATCAAAGTTATAAATCCTGGATATGTCTAGGGTCATATTCCACAAGATTTTCTAATAATAGTTCATCACAACTAAGCATCTAATGCTCAAACAATGACTCAATAGAGATAGATGGGGTGAGGTTCCCTATGTTTAGCCGGTTTTAGAGATTCATATAAAGAAAATATAACATGAACGATAATAAAGTAAATATACACATTGATAAGAAATGCAATCATATATGATCGTGCATTTCAATCTCAATCATGATAAGCTATGATTCATCTTCTATAATCTATTTCTATCCCTTCCAGTAAGGACATCCTTCTCGATTTTTCACTTTATGCAATAGGAATCAAGACTAGATAATGCATGTTTTTGCTTCATGTCACTAGACTAACCAATCACTCAAGGAAGTATGAATAACACATCACTATTTAGAGCCTCTTCAAACCACAATGATGGTTTATATGATTGATGATCGACGGTATCAAGCATTGCACATAGTCGAGTATAGATGGACGATCAATCCATTTCATACATGCTTAAGACAATGGCATATCACATAAGTTGAGTTTCCATACAACACACTGTAATATTATGAGCAATGAAGTCAAAATCGTGATTTTATGTAAAATTGAAACTGAGGTAAAATCGTAATCATAGATAGTAATAACAATGCATATTGAAATTGACACATAAAACCCCAGATAGTAATAACAATAAATCAGATATCACTTAATTACATCTCAAGATAAGTTTTCTGCTAAATAAAAACAAATAAATCCATAAATTATTTATTGTACATAACATAAACACAGAATTAAGCAACCTAAAACCTCATAGAAATCAGTTACAGGTTTAAGTGAAAAATCACATCAGATCGTTAGGATCGACGTCTAAATATAATTCCTCAATATCAACATCATCATCCTCGCCCTCACCCTGAATCATTGTCTATTTGATTGAGCAATGATATCATTATTTTAAGGATCACTAGAAGTACTATTAGCACCAACCATATTTCCTTGATCACCATCATTCGGGAAAGGAAACTCATTGATTGATGCATTCCCTTCTTGATCGAATGAAGATCATGAATGGTGACGCTGAAGATTTGGGTGACGACAAAAGCTAGCGAGGAGATGGGGATTGGGCAAATTGCGAGGGTGATGGAGAAACAAGTAACAAGCTAATTGGGAGGGTGAGGGAGACAATTTTTTATGTAAGAAGTTGGATGTTTGGCGTGAGGGGGAGGAAGAGATTAGGAAGAGAACGAAAATCAATAGAGGGTCGCCTATCGGGTTAGGTTTGTGTTGTCCCTGATGTTGGGTTGTGGAAAACCAACGTGACCTAGTTTGTGGCCAAAATCCAACCCGACCGACCTAATTTTGCTCCAATTGACAGGAACCTTGAAATCGCACAAAATCGTAATTTTTTTAAAAAAATTATGATTTTAAATCGGGATTTTAAAGTTCAAAGATTTTGTAGTAAAATCGGGATCGGAACCCTAATGTGAGATCATAAATCATAAGATTATAAGATAGAATAGGGATTTTGACTACATTGATTATGAGCAACACTATACCAAAACATAATTGATGATAAAGGCTTCACATAGCATCGTAGAACTGCGACATTAGATTATCACAAACATCACATGACATAGGCATCCAATGATATAAGCATCACATGCCTAAGGAAACTAATGAAACAAGCATCGAATAACTTGGATGGCAATAAAGCATATCATTATATCATAGAAAGAAGATGCTATAAGCATCAATAGAATTCACATCCTTAACAACGAATTTGAACTAACAATACATAGAAGAGAAAGATGATATCACCATCGATGATGAAGGCATCTCCTTAGCTACACCCTCTTGTGAATGCTAATTCGGCCTCCCTAACCCTAATGGCTCCTTGCTCGAGTTTGACAGAGTAATTTCAGTGAGTGTTTACAACCAGTTGAATCTCTTAACCCGACCCTCTATTTATAGAGGAAGAAAAGAGGGGGGTGGGTGGGTGGGTATTTTTCTTCCTAAAACGTGGCCGAAGGCTTCACGATACCATTGGGACTCGAATTTCTTGTCTTGGGGATGAAGAAAGGAATATTCCCAAAGATCCCTTAGGCTTGGGCTTGCGGCGGGTCAACGACGGTCAGGCTCTTTATGGGGTTTCCTTCCCCTTTGGGTTGATTGGCCCACAAGTAACTCATCGTCTAAAATGCAACACGACTTGGTGGGTCTGGCCCATCGGTAGCTATCACCATCATAGGGTCACCGTGGGATTCTTTATAGGTTTGGGCTAAAATTTCTCCACTGAACTCCTCTTGGGCTTGTATGACGACTTCATGAAGGCTTCCCCTTGATTTGACCTCATCTAATGGATGAATCACATTGACCTTCTTAGCAATTATCCCTCTTGATCCATCCATTGATGCAAGTCATCATAGAATGTGTTTGACCTTGAAAAGCACAAAAGAACATGAAAAAAAACATAAATGATACAAAATCACATCCTATGTCTACTAAAAGCATGTTGCTCACAATGCCATGATTTCTATCGAAAATATGGGAAAATATACTAAAGATGCATTGACAGAAGGGGAAATGTATCATATATGGGAGTGATAACATGATAATTTGAGTGCCATCATTTATGCAAAAGACGTGTATGTCATACTCTCAATCATACCATCTCTTGCCATGAAGGTAGCCCCTAAACACTTTTCAATACGATCAGATGTCCATGAATGGGTCATCACAAACTTGCCCGAAGGACTTTTGGTTGGGTTATAACTTGGTTAGGATCTAGGACATGAGGAACAAAGTCTTCATAGTGGTGAAAAAATTTAATGCTCTTTTTATGTTAAAGGAATTGTGGCTAGCCTCCTTGACTCCTTAGACTTATTGTGTAGAATTATCTTGAGGAATTAAGCGCCATAAAATACTTCTCCAATGGCTTCAAGAACATTAATCAGTCACAGTACATGCAACAATGGAATTATAGCCATTCTAGGGTCAGTAGACCCTAAAACTAGCACCAATAGCTTTTGGCTCGTTTTCAGTCCTATCACTATTGCATATAGCTTCTCGAATATGTTGGATTGCGGATTGGAGACACCTTCTTCTTGCCCCTTGCATTAAGGCTGATTACCAAATCCAGGTGGACCTGACTTATTTTGCCATTGTAATTCATGAACATAGGATACATTGGTAAAAATGATGTTGGGGTAGTCCTCTAGCTTATTGCCTCCTAGAGTAGGCCAGTGATCATATGGTATGCAAGGTTGGTTGATTCGTTGATAAGGAGGATAACTTCCTTATTGAGGTCTCGATGGACAACCTTGATTTATATAATTGACATCAACATGTCATTTCCCTTCTTGGCTATAGAATTTGATTTTTTCATTACCTTCTTCCCACATGCTTTACAAACGAGCAAGGATGCAACCGGTCCATTCTTTGAGTCCATTGAAGTACTCTTTAATTGTTGGTCTAGCTTTTTCATGTATGCACATAGGGCGACAAAATCATCTTCCCTTCCTTGGGAAGCTTTCAATGGTTTAGTCATTGATGGATGTTTGAACCAGTTCTTTGACTTCCTACTAGTGTGGAGAAATGCTCCTGGCATTGAACTCCGTCATTGTTGTGAAATCTCCATCGACTGACTGGTTTATCATCACTATGTTGTCTCGATCAAGGCCTTTTAGCAAAATACTTTTTAATATACGCTAGTGTGAATCCATGATGGGGGCATGCTTGATATACTTCTGGAATCTCCTCCAAGCATCATATAAAGCCTCTCCTTCCTTCTGTTGAAATAGAGTAATCTCGTCTTTAAACTCTTGCGTCCTTCGTGGTGGAAAATACTCATTGATGAATGCTTGTGATAAGGTCTCCCATGTGGTGAAGGTTCCTAGTGGATGGTAGTCGAGCCACTACTTTGCTCCTCGTCCAAGTGAGAACGAGAAAAGTCATAGTCGAATTCCATCTTTGCTAGCATCATCTACTGGTATGGAATTGATGATCTCTAAGAATGTCTTCAAGTGTTGCACTGAATCATCATCATTCCTTACTCCATATCTCCCTATTTTTTGCACCATCTGGATGAGTTTATTTATGATTTTTATGGTTGTTGGTGGTGCAACAATGCTTGAGGTGACGTTGGATGATCTTGGCTTTGAGTACTCATAGAGAGTTGGCGACACGACCACTTGTCTTTGTCCTTCTTGTAACACCCCACCCTAAAATCATGGGTCAAACCGATGGTTCAACCGCGCAACAAAAATCACTCGGGGTTTACGTTTTCAAAATCTCAACTCAACTTACATCCACATCATTATGATATGTTTAAAACTCAACTCATCATAATAATTTACTAAAAATCACTTTCTCAATTCATTAATCAATCTTCTTCAAATTCAGGATTCACAAAACCCAGAATATCAATCTCATCTACTCCGTTCATACTCAAATCAAGTTAATGAGCATACTTGACCAATGTAAACTTTCATGCATGCTCAAAACATAAACTAAGAATTTTGAATACATCAATATGTGAAAAACCTTTTAAATCAAAATACTCCATCGATCATTGTGTAGTGCCAGAGTCATCCTCAATTTATCACACCTGTCACATCTAGAAAGAAAAAGGTCAGCTACTAAGCTGAGTGTGTGGACCTGGCCTATACGGCAAAACTATTGTTTGCATGCCAACACATCATCACATCTTGTTGATTAAAAACACATCATCAACAAATTATCATGCCACACGAAAATCTCATTAATCCCTAGATTTATTTCTAGTTCATCAATCCATAATCACTGTCATTATCATCATCATGCCATAATCATACATATTAATAATCAATATATATTTTATTCATCATCAAATCATTTTATCTTACGAACCATATAATAACAATGAAAATACTTCAAATTATCCATATCGTCCATTAACTAATTTCATCAACATATCAACTAAACGTATTATGATCAAATCTTGTTTTCATAATTTATATTAATAACTTGAAACCATTCTAAAAAGGACCATACCAAATATATAATTCTCATGATTATCAAAAGTTCATTGAAAATGTCTCCCTTAATAACACATCTCTCAATAATTATTTTTTAAAGTACAAACTGAATGATAGTTCGTCATGATTCATTAATAAGACTATTTGCAATATTTCAATTAAATACTCAATTAACCGTTTCTCAAAATTAATCTTAAAACGTAAATCAAATTTAATCCAAGATAAAATTACTCATGGTAAACTTAAATAAATTTATTTTAATCACCACTATTCTGAAAATCATAATACGTTCTCTTTAATAACGAAACCAAGTAGAAACAGGTTTCATCCATCCAAAAATCCAACAAAGTTCATAAATTATTTATTTTAATTATTCTAACCAGAATTCACTTCTCATATACTCATCTAATTTATTAATTCCCAATTTTACCCTTTTAACATCATAACTTCAATTAATTCCGAAAAGTCAATTATTACCAATATAATCATTGTCATGGTAATATATCATGACTAATGTCATCTCAAGATTCCTTAAATTTCCTTTCCTTATTCTGATCTCAATAGACATTTTCAGAAAATATTCGGAGTTCACCATATACATTAACAATTCCAATACGAGATTAATAATAATTATTATTATCATAAAAATCAGTTAACTTCATCAACAATTTCATCAAATACCATAATCAAGTGGGAATCACAAATCCATCATAATTATTCATCATCAACTCAATCATGCACATTTAAAGATAAACAAGTAATTCCGGTTCCATTTTACCGTAAGCCCACACACCTTATTTATGACGAAACTGATTCTGTGAAGGCTCCGTAAATTCCAAATCCGGGTCTAATAATTTTCTCCTCATTCTCAAGTTCCCGTTGGCGAAGACGGTTTTTCGTTTGGACGTCAAACGAACGAATTGTGGACAAAATACTAATTCTGTCAAAACACGAAGTACCAGGTACCAAATCTAACATTTTTCAGTCAACTGAATCCTGTTGACCGTGACCTCTTAGGAAAATAACGTCTAGGTCCTCTACGTTTTCGAACACCCAGAAATTATACCTGGTTTTTGTAAAACGGCAGTTTTACGCCGCAAACTTGCGGAGCTCGGTTCTTGCTGGCCCGACGTCGAAAATGAGTTTCGTCAAAACGTGCACACTCCTCGTCCTCTTCGTCATGGTACCAGCTTTTTGGAGTTTTGTTGAAGTCAACGACGCCGATGCTGCCGATGCAACTTTCCTCCGACAAACTCTTAGGAACCTTCAACAACGATTCTGACTCCGTAGATGGTCTCCGGACATCCCAATATCTCTAATATAACCCACAGGAGCTTGGTTCCCTCTCTTTTATTTCATTCTCTCGTCTTTCCTCTCAAGGTTTTTCGTTCTTTCATGGCGGTGGTGAAATGGGAAGAAGAAAGAAAGCTTTCCATCTTTGTTTATCAAAGCCTCCAGAAAGACCCTCTCTCAATTATCACACTCCAACAGGAAGTGGGTGGGCGATTGAAGGCTGTCGGTTGGTAAGCCTTTAACAAAGTCGGTTTCCAGCTCAAGCTTTGTTGGAAGTGAGGTGCAGAGGTGGTGGAATGTAAACAATTTTAGAATGAATAAATTGGATTGGCTATTTAATTCAACCATCCCGTCCAAAAACTTAATATTAAAGAAATGATTCAGTGGTAGACAGTTAATGGAAAGTTTCATTGTGGAAATGCTCCTTCTGAAATCTTCTCCTTGTCTATATGATCGTATGAGCGCAAACGGCTCGTTGTTTCGATTCCAAACAAAGAAGTTGTGCCCAAATTAGTGCCGGTACGTACGTTATTTCAATAACTGAGTATGGACTTCAAAATGACATATCTCACTCGTTTGGAATCCAAATTTAGTTACGTAAAATCCTACATGGTCGTTGAAGGATCTAATAAATTATATAGGGGAGATTTGTTATTAAATCTTGAACTATAATTCCAGAATATTCGTAATTTCATAAACCATTCGGTGTGGTCGCAATTTCTTCGAGTATGGTTGAAATTCTTGATTCCTCATCACACCAAATTGATTTATAAATTGCTCGAGGTTTGGGATGTTACACTTCTTCTCCAACCATTCTTGGTGTTGAAGAATTTGAAGATGCTCCTTCTTCCTCTAAATTGAAGTTGTATCCATCTATGTTGTCCTCCTCTTCCAAGGGTTGTTTGAAATTGGCGGGCTTGAGGTTCTTCTTCTTCTTCTTGGCTAGATTGTTCCTTCCTTTGTCTTCATGATGGGTGAACTAGATGCTCCTCTTTCTTGAACTTTCTCTTGCACGATCTTTATGATTTTTTTTTTGTCTTCTAGTACTTACTGGAGTCGTATGAAAACCTACAAAGCAAAAGAGACTGAATACTCAACATATGATATTTAGATGCTTTTATATACGATTAGAAATTCTTGATAACGGTGCCAAAAACTTGATGTAGTATCAGTGATAAAATTCTATAAGGCCTTAGGGTCATAGTCCTCGAGATCTTCTAATGCACACCCACTCTCACTAACCATCAATGACATACACAAAAATCATAAATACTGTTATGGGTTTTCGTTTAACTAACAAGCAAAGCAAGAAGAGTAAAGTTGTTTAGGGATTTTTTATTTTATTTTTAGATGCATAAAAGTAAAGATACATTATTGTAAAAGGTTGGAACACTCTATCCCTTCCTCTAAGTCTTCTTTCTACTCGTGCGTACGCCTCTTGCGATAGAGATTTAACTAGCTAATGCATGCTTTTGATTCATACAATTATTTGTAAAAAAAAAAAAAAGAATTTAGGATAACATATAGTTAATTGTGGAATTCTACGAACCATAACCATAGTCTATAACATCGATGATCTAACAATCATTGATACTACTCAAAGTATAAATGGTTGATCATTCCCCCTAGATACATCGATGATCTAACAATCATTGATACTACTCGTGTAGCATCAATGGGGTATCACTAGATAGTAATTTCTTGACAACCATGGGGTATCATTAGATAGTAATTTCTTGAAAAACTAAGTAATAAATACTAAGCACAATGCATATGGTAGCATACAATAGAATCATAAGTATCGATGATAAAGAAGCATCCATACTATAGAAACATCAATGACCATCACACAAGCATCAAAACTAAAAACATCCATACATAGGCAATAACATGAAAAATTGCATAGACAAACACAAGCATGAGATGAAATCATAGCATTCATTCACATAACAATAAACAAGATCAAATCCTTATTCTACTAGCTACATAGAGGAAAGGAATGTACCACCATTAATGATGATGACATCTCCTTAGCTGCAGACCCATCTACTTCGACTAGGCTATCACTCAGGTAGAGCGTTATAGTGAATTTGTGTGTTTGTGTGGGCTTACTAAGCTAATGAGTCACACCCTCTGTTATATGGGAGGAACTCGGCCTAAAAACATCCTAAATTCGCTAGGAAAGGGTCTCCAACTCCTTGTTGGGCTTATATATATAAATAATTATTAAAAAAGAAAATACCCAACTCTTAGAAGTTAAAAAAGTCAATGATGTATTTCATATCCTGAAAAAATTGTAAAATGCACTTGGTGTCTATACTGCTCAACAAATTTGTCTAGGTATATCCTACTAGACAATCATTGACGAACTGACACATATTCGACTTCTAAATTTGTTCTTGATGTAACTCAAAGCTGAAAAGACACTTTCAACTCTTGTCGTACAACCATAAAATCAATACAAATTATGAGTAGCTTGTAATTAGATTAATTGTTAGGTTTTGAAAATAATTAAAGTTAGAGAATAGGATTTTGCTATTACACAATGTTTAGAATAGGACAACAAAAAAGTTTAGCCTAATGGAAATTATATTTATTAATAATAATAGTGTCCCGGATTTGAATTACCAAACTACCACTTATATTCCCATATGCAAACTACAAATGAGAATAGGATAATCATTTTTACAAATTTCGGGGTGTGCGAACTATTAATTATAATTTTTTTGTCCATAGTAAATTACCACCGGGGGTTGGATAACCACTTTTTTAAAATTTAGGGGTGTCCCATCCCTTGGGTCTGCCCCTGGTGGCCGTTCATTCCTTTAGGTCAAGTCTTCTTCCTATGGGCTTGTCTTGAGATAATGTAGCAACTTCAGGTTGACTTCTCTATCATTGAAGCTTTTATTTCTCACGAAAGCTCCTTAATATTCTCTTTATAGCTCATTTGGCCCTGTATAGTTCTTCAATACTTGATCAAAACTTTCTTAGATTGATTTGTACCTTCAAAACCATAAAACAACATACCAAGAAGGCATCAAAGAATTGAAGAACATATCCTAGGTATATTAAACTCTCATTGATCAAATAATTGTTATTTAGACAAGAAATATCATTGAAATGACTAAAGAAGCATTGATAGAAGGGGAAAATGTATGAAGGATGAGAGTGACAAATACTAAATAAAGTGTCATCAAGGATTTTCAGGTACAAAAGTCATTGAGAAAAACATGAAGAGTACAACCTTGTTATTCAGGAAGGATGGCAGTAAAACTCACAAGCTCGATCTTTAACAAGATTGCAACATGTGAACAAAAGCTAAAGAACTGGAGTAAGGATAAGTTCGACAGCTTGGCAATAGGAAGACAAAAAAAAAGAGCTTTGTTGTTTCTCGAGAAAAGAAAGAAGGATCTTGTTATGATTGAAAAGACATGTGTTGGAAAAAGAATTAACAAAATTCATGATATAACAGGAAATGGAGTGGAAGCAATCAAGGGAAGAATGGTTACAAGAAGGAGAAAAAAACACAAAATTCTTCCAACAGAAGGCCTTGATAGGAGAACAAGAATGTTATCATTGTTCCAAAGAATGAAGATGACATAACAAGAACGGGAAATGAAGAGGTGATTGAATGTTTGCTGAGTTTTTTTAAAGAATCTATACATCGGTGGGCAAACTACATAATCGCAGAGCATTCTAGAGGCAGTTCCACGCAAACTCACAAGTGAGATGAAGGGGGAACAATTGCAACCTTTCACAGTAGAAGAAATCTGGTATGCCCTAAAAACATGGGGGCTCTTAACGCCACATGAGATGACGGAGTGCCATCAATGTTTTTTCAAAAACACTAGTGGACAGTGGGAGGTGCTGTAATAAAGGAGCTTCAAGGTTTCCATGAAAGAGGCAAATTTTCACAGGAGCTAAACTATACGTTTTTTGCTCTAATTCCAAAGAAAAAAGTCACATGAAAAAACCATGGATTTTAGACAAATAAGTTTGTGTAAAGTTTTGTGTAAGATATTTTCTTAAGTTCTAGCAAACCGGTTCAAGAAAGTGTTGAACGAAGTTATAGTGGAGAATCAAAGTGTTTTTGTGCTAAGGAGGTATATAAAAACCAACATTATTGTGGTATTTTAATGATTTCATTCCATGAAAAACATGCAAAAGAGAAAAAGGGTACATGACAGTTATGTTGGATATTACGAAGCCTTACGATAGGGTTGAATGGTCTTTTTACAAAGCAATTATGAGGAAGTTAGGCTTGCAGAAAGATGGATAAAGTTTATTATGACTCATGTGTCTATGGTTTCTTATGCACTAATCATTAATGGCCACAAATCAAAGTGCTTCTTTCCTAAAAGAGGATTACGCCAAGGCGATTCTATTACAAACATGAACGTTTTTCGTAATCTCATTGACCAACCATGCAATTACGAGTAACATTCTATTACATTGCTAACATCAGAAAATGAAATAATCGGGAATCACGAGTAACCGGCCAAGCGGCTAAAGTAGCCAAAGTCGTGATAAATCCTGTCAATAAAATCGGTGCTATAGAAAGTCCATCTATTCCCAATCTCCAGTAAAAATAAAAAAATTGGATCCATTTATAATTTTCTGTTAATTGGCTTAATGGATCGTTCAATTGGAAATAATAAACAAACCCCAAAATCTTTGAACCTTAAAATCCTATAAAATCCCGATTTAACACTTTAAAATCCTTAAAATCTATGATTTTGTACAACTTCAAGGTTCACATCAATTGGAGCAAAATCAAGTCGTTCGGGTTGGGTATTGCCAATGAATCGGGTCAAGTTTACTTCCCCCCGCCCCAACACATAGACAACACAACCCTAACCTGACAAGCAACCCTCAATTGATTTTTGTTCTCTCTCTCTCTGTCTCTTCCGCCAATCAACACCCAACTCCTTCAATCAACGATTTCCTCCATCACCCTCTCAATTAGCTCGTTGTGTGTTCCCCCATCACCTTCGCAATTAGCCCAATCCCCATCCCCTTGAAAGCTTTGTTTGTCTCCCAAATCTTTAGTGCCACCAACCTCGACCTTCTTTCAATCAAGAAGGGAATGCATCAATCAATGAGTTGCCTTTGCAAGATGATGGCGATCAAGGAAATATGGTTGGTGTGTTAAAGTACTTCGAGTGATCCTCATAATAATGATATCATTTCTCAACGAAAACACAAGGATTATATGAGGATGAAATTGAGGGTGATGGTGATGATGACGATGTTGAGGATTTAGATGTTAATATTGATCCTAACGATCTTATATGATTTCTACTCTTTCTATTAACTAGATTAGGTATTTTCTATGTGGTTTCAGGTTGCATATTTTTTTGGGTTTATTGTATGTATAAGAACAAATCCATGATTTTATTTGTGTTTATTAAGGAGACAAACTTATCTTACGAGTCATTTAAGGTATATATGGTTGGCTGTTATTTAGGATATGCATATTTTTGCTTTTTGATTTTTAAGTGATAATTTTAATATGAACATTAAAGTTTTATGATTCTATGATTTAAATCTAGGATTCCAATTTTATATCAATTTTTTATTTTACGTAAACTCTCGATTTTGACTGCATTGGTTGAGATAAGTTTTTTTTTTTTAAAAGAAAAGAAGGTTGGGAGAAGAAGAAGTCAAGGAAGGGAGTGTTTTACAGGACTTCATTTATTTAATTTTTTTGCCTTTTTTTATTTTTAATTAATAAGTGATGTGGATGCCACCTCAACATTGGATGCTGAGTCTCTAACGAAGAATTGTTTGACTGTCAATATTAGCGGTTTAAAGAAAATTTTGGAGCAAATTTATCCAATAGTTTCAAAATTGACCATTTAATCACAAATGTCTTATTTAAAAAATAGTGTCAGAATTGTTACATAAGCTAAACTTCGAATAAAACTAGAGTATTAACCCTTAAAATTACGCCTCATATAATATCCTTTACCGTGGGACTACTAGAACGTTACACGATAGCTGTTCCGAGAAAGGAAAGGTTGAAAATGGACAACCCGTCGAATCCCAGTTCTTCGAGATACTTTCTTAGGAACTCCTTGGCCATCAAGAAATGGTGGTTAGATATTTTTTTTCTTTCTCCTACCGTTTCCCTTCTATTTTTGTTTTTCCTTTTCCCATTGTTCTTCCCCTTGCTTTCATTGTCTCATCTATCCACAATCCACATGCTCTGTATATGTAAAGCTACCTCCAGCTTTAGCCTAAGGTTAGATTCATTTCCTGGCAGAGGATAGGAGATTTACTACTGATGCTAGTAATCGAAGAGTAATCAACCAGCTTCAGGTATGGCTGATTTCATGAATGCGCCCCCGAAATCCGAGGAGCAAGACGATGTACCGAAGCCGCCGCCGCGGCTCTGCGATTACTGCAACCAAGCTACCGCCGTGCTGTACTGCAGAGCAGATTCGGCCAGGCTATGTCTCGCCTGCGACCGTGAAGTTCATTCCACCAACCAGCTCTTCACCAAACACACTCGATGGCTGCTCTGCGACGCTTGTGACGCCTCCCCTGCCTCCATCTTCTGCGAGACGGAGCGCTCCGTTCTCTGCCAGAACTGCGATTGGGAGACCCACCGACACTCCTTCTCCTCGCTTCACAGCCGGAGGCCGATCGATGGGTTTAGCGACTGCCCTTCGGTGAATGAATTGATGGGTCTTTTAGGGTTTGAAGATTTGGGGGTTAAGAGTAAAAATGGGTTGATGATTTTGGGGGAAGAAGATAACGATGGGTTGGTTTGGTCTGTTCCCGACGAGTCGGATCTGGTAGATGGCTACTCCGAATTCCTTGTTTGGGAGAGCCCTCCTGTTGGTAGCATCGATGATTTGATAGTTTCTGTGGATTCGGGTCGGGATTTGAAGGCATTGGGAGTTCCTCCTCTGCCCAAGGCAAGCTTCCATGGCTTCTTTCACCTTTCGTTTAGTTTTCTTGTTGTGTTTTTAACTTATGGTTCTTCGTTATGTCGGACTTTCAGAACCGGAATGCGGCCTGCGGACGATACAAGGAGGAAATAATCCGGCAGCTTCGTCGAATGGCAAGGTTAGAACCTCAATCGAATTCCGAGAAGGGAGAATTTGATCACACCGGGTCGTTGGGATCACTCGCTCCTGAACAAAACTCGCTTCAAACAAGCACCGGTTATGAGCCCCATGTTGAACCAGCGTTGTTCCCTTATTATGAGGTAAAATCGGCCTCACGATTTGTACATTGCTGAATATAAATTTTGTTGCATCATGTTTATGGGTAGTTGATTTTTCTGTACACTGAAATTTCTCTGCTTGCGAAACCTATTGGTGGCCATGTTTATTGGTCGGTTAACATAGCAGTTGTACCAATGCAGGAACATGTTTTTCATTGGCACAATGATAACGAAGATGCTGCAAATCAAGCATTTGTTTCTTCTATACTGAGGGCCAACTTAGACGAACATTCTGCAACTCCTGACAAGCAGTCTAATGCAGCTGGGGAAGGAACGTTTGCGAATGATGGCGATGAAGCTGCACAACCCCATCACCCTGCTACAACATTACCGGCCACAGCTCCGAAAGTTACAGCATACGAGTTGTTAAACAGCCAGGAGAGGGACTCTGCGATCTCAAGGTACAAGGAGAAGAAGAAAACAAGAAGGTACTGAGTTTCTGGGAACTCATGGCTAACATTTATTGGCTGAGGCGGGATTAGGAGGTTCATTTCATTTCTAATTAACATTTGGTTTCACTTATTTTATAAAAAAACAATGACAGGTATGATAAGCATATTAGGTACGAATCGAGAAAGGCTCGAGCAGAAAGCCGAACGAGAATCAGAGGGCGGTTTGCTAAGATCGAATAGTGATTAAATACTATGGTCCTCTTAAAAGTCGTTTTGCAAGACTTACTAGAAGTCTGTCCAGACATTTGCCTGAATGCAAAATAGTATATGCTCTCTGGCTGCATCGGTACATAGGGATAGACATCAAAATAGCACATGTTCTCATTTTTATGTGTTCTCTGGCACACTGCCTCTTACAGTGTGGTTCACAATGTATTTGGCTACCATACCAGCACTGAGGTGGCATTCTGCGCGTCCTGATGTTGTTGGATCTCCTTGTGCGATAACCAGCCCTGCTGCAAATGCGTGGGGCGGGCGATCCAACGGTGTTATCACGCGTTGAACTCCTCCCACCTCAGCAAAATATCCAAATTGGTGGTTGACGAGGACAGTTTTACGCCAGCAAGGTGTGTCATTACAGCTGGGGCCAGATTCCAGAATCTAATAGCTCTGTAAGGAAATGGCAGGTATATATCATCGCTGCCTGCAGAATGGTAGGCGAACAGCACAGACTTTCTATTTCCTGTTGTAAAATCTGTAGTTATGAGTTAATGTATGTTTTGGCTTTTGTGTTAGCTTGTTAATGCGATGCATTTGGAATGTAGAATTGGTAGGAGAGAACAAGAGAGAGTGTGTGTATCTGGTGATTGTCCCTGTGGCAGTGTTTAATAATGTCAATGTCGTTGAGGAGTCCATATTGAGTTAGGTTTTTCAATATCCTCTTTGCCATGCGATCGTAGTCCTTCCGCCGCTTCTTTCAGTTCTGCAGCGGTGGTGGAACATGAGCCAAGGTTGCAGGTGAAAGCTTCCTTGCACACCCACGATGGTTTCTAAGTAAGCCACCCACAGCTGCCATGCCAATTGGAGAGAGGACCAATCCGATGGATTGAAGTTGGATCAATCCCTCTCTTGGTGGATTCCATCCAATCATCTTAGAATGTCGTTGCACAGTCTTAATGTTGGTTGTCTTCTGAACACTCTGGTGCGCCTGCTAGACAATGTCGAACCAAGGTGGGATCATTGTGATCAAACCATTCTTCAAGAAAGTTGTTCCTTCAATAACCTCTTCATTCCTGTACTTCGAAAGGTGCCAACATTCGACACCAAATTCGGTACTAGTGTCATGATTCTCGAGGTTAGTAATCAACCATTCCATCAAAGGCATATTCAGGTTCTGCACTGCCAAAAATACCTAAAGCTTCTCCCAAATGCTTATGTCTTTACAGCAGCTTTGCACAACGTGGTCAATGGTTTCTTCCTCATATTTGCAGTAGTTGTAGCAGCTATTCGTCGTAATCTTTCTCCCCGTTCTCACTTTGTTAGTAAGCAGACGCTGATGCATCACAAGTCATAGGTTAAGATTTGGTGCCTCCATTCATGCAATCAGCAAGAGAGCATCATCAGGGAGAACATATATCAGCCTATCCCAATCTCACTCACCTTCCTCCGTGGTCCAATCCGCCACCATCGAGTCATTGTCATATTCAGTAATATCATAAGGAAAGAAATTCTCCAAGACAGTATCACTATCGAGTCAAGATTGAGTCCAGAACTTGATAGTCTTCCCATCTTTTGTGCTCCAACATGTGGCATGTTTCTTCAGAGTCACGCCTTTAACAATAAATTTCCTGTGAGAACCTCGCTTCTAGGGATTCTCGATACTGATCTTTGGCACTCGTGATAATTAGGGATTTAGGGGTCGAGAGAAAGAATTAGGGATTTAGATGAGAAAGAATAGAATTGGGAATCGGCCGAGGCCTTGGACTAGGATGAGGCGAGTTGAGAGGAGAGATTAGGGTTTAGGAGACTTTGCTTAATATTCATCTTGATTGATTATGACGTAAACCCAAAGTACATATATATAGGAAATACTGGAAAACCCTAACGAATAACCTAATTGGACTAAATCTCTACTAACCATAATTATAATGATCCTATTGATAATTAATAAGAGAAACCCCAATGAATGTGTTTCTCACAATCCATCCCCCTTGAGAACAACCTTGACCTCAAGGTTGTAGTTGACTTCTACCTTCCTGATCTTCCGCTTTCTACGTTTCCAATTGCGTTCCAACGCACGAATGACTTCTTCAACTCCAATGTTCTTCAACTCTTCTCGAATTTTGTGACACACGTCACATTCCCCATAAACGAACAATTCTTCCTCTTCCTTTGTTCAAAATCCACGAAATAAGAATTGAGAATTGGTTCTTCCTTGAGCCCATTCTCATAAACTGCCTCGAAAGCTTCAAGGAACTGCTCCCTCAATTCCGTAATGGGTTTGGTGGTGAAGATAAACTCAAGCTTTCCCCATTCCTCTCTTTCTTCACTTTTGGGTCGGCCCACATGAATTCGGAAGAAAGAATTATTGCTCAAGCCAATTTGAAGCTCTTGTGCACTCCTCCTCCTTTTATTTTCGTTTGGGCTTATCTCCTCTAAAGACCCACTTGTTAAGCCCATCAAACACTCTTCCTCCTTTAAGTTATGTCCCTGCAAAACATATCTAATTAAATGGCCCATTGGTGGACCCATCCCATCTTGCAGAGTTGGCCAGCTCAGGATGTGTCCCACAAGAAGAGAGAGCCCAACCAGTTTGGCCCAACAACGACCCTTCATTTCGGCCCGACGAGAAATAGTCCAGCGGTTGGTGTGCGGCGCGGCCCAACACGAGTGGCCTAGGGTTCGAGAGAGGCAGAGGGCCGCCGCCCTCCATCTTTTCCCTTTCCGTCTCCTTCTTCCTTGGCTGCAGACAGACCGACGGCGAACAATCCGTCGACGGCACGGTGCCCAGCCCAAATCCTCTGCCACCCTTCGCTCCGTCTTATCCCCTGACGAAGACAACTCCTGCGCCATTGATCTGATGTGGCGTTTGAATGACCCAATCGGGTCTGTAAATCTCATCTTCTTCTCCTCGTCCTTGGTCGGCGAGCCATCCTTCTTCTCCGCGCGTCGTAACCATCCGGCGGCATGGACGAAAATCCGCACCCGGCCCCTTCTTCGAGGTCGCCTCCTCGCCTATCGACGGCGTCAAGGAAGTCGTCATCAATCGCGCGCTCGGAGCTGCCTCGCGAATCGCCGGCCGTCGTGCCTTCCACGCGATCCGCGCCATCGGTGGAGATTCCCTCCGACCCTTCTCCTTCGTTGCTTCGCGTCGGCGGTCGCTGTCAACTTCGCCCTCCTCCTTCCTCTCCGTCGAGGGTTGCTTCTCTGTCTCCGCCTCCGGCCAACAGTCAATCCCACGACGAAGAGACAAGCTCGAGCCGACGACCATCTTCTTCCCTTCCGGCACCGCGTCGGACGATTCCTTCGCCTCTTTCTTCGACGGCGGTGAGCAATCAATCAGACGGCGCCGGTCCGACTCCGCCCTCATCTTCAGCTCTATCTCCTTCCGTCGTTTCCGCTGCTTCCAATTAGGTGGAAGCAGGTTAATTGGCCCCCTTCCCACAACCTCCAATTTGCCAATGGAAACGCTATCAACCTCCATCCTCGTGAGGTCGCGGGAATGGGAAGCTGGCGTGGCTACCACAATTGAGGATGCGGCGGCATCTCGTGCGGGACCAGCTGTAGCCGAAGCAGACCTCGCCCCAGATACGATGATTTTGACGGAAGCACCGTCGAATGATGGCGAGCAGGACGAAGCTCTAACGCCGACCAGCTCAATCGTCTCTTCGGAGACTTGTGTCTCCCGGCTTGCTCCCGAGATTGTTCCACCTCGCTCGATCACGATTGGGAACGCAGGTTGTTCCAACCAATCGTCGAAATCCAATTCTGCAGCTGCGGCCTTCGATAATGGCTGTGGGTCTTTCTTCAACGGCTTCTTGAACGCGGCGGCTGGCTTTGGGTGGAGCAGCCCGCGCGATATTAACCTCGTTCCTAGTCACTTCTTCCGGCTTCAACTTCAAAAGCTTTGTAAGTTCTTTGATGGAGAGCTCTTCGAAGTTGGTCAAAACCATGGTACGAGTGCCACAACCGGGCTCTGATGCCACTGTGAGAACCTCGCTTCTAGGGATTCTCGATATTGATCTTCGGCACTCGTGATAATTAGGGATTTAGGGGTCGAGAGAAAGAATTAGGGATTTAGATGAGAAAGAATAGAATTGGGAATCGGCCGAGGCCTTGGACTAGGATGAGACGAGTTGAGAGGAGAGATTAGGGTTTAGGAGACTTTGCTTAATATTCTTCTCGATTGATTATGACGTAAACCCAAAGTACATATATATAGGAAATACTGGAAAACCCTAACGAATAACCTAATTGGACTAAATCTCTACTAACCATAATTATAATTATCCTATTGATAATTAATAAGAGAAACCCCAATGAATGTGTTTCTCACATTTCCACAGGTCAGAATGATTACTTTTTTCATAGACAAAATATTACCATTTTGATGTTTAAAATACTTCCCCTATAAAACTTGAACCCATAAATTATTCTCATTGTTCAACATGTTCCAATCAAGCTTGATCATAAAAGTCATATGTAACTGGCAGTTAGATTTTAAACCTAGTCCTCATTGCTTTTTAGGCTTATAAATATTCTCCCAATAGACCAGATGTGTCTTCTAACTTTTCTATCAATGATATCACAAACAAAAACTGGGGGAGGTGGTTTGCATAGCGTAGGTAGGGAGGGCATTAATAATAGGAAGAGCAAGAGTGGCCCTGTCAACTAAGGAGAGGGTATTAGCTTTCCAACTAGATAGTGTTTAGTCAATTCTGTCAATGATATACCTTGTAGATATTATAAGTAATGTGACCATGAAGCACATGAACACCTAGATATTTGCCCAAATCATTGGTTGCTTGTATCCCAAGTCTATTACAAATTTCAGCCCATGTTTGGTTCTTAACTTTCTTGGAAACCAACACTCTAGACGTCTCCCTGCCAACAGATTCACTAGAGGCTTTGAAAAATCCACCCAAGCAATTCATCAAAATGTCAACATGTTTAGGGTTACTTTCAAGAAATAACACTAGGTTATCATTAAAGCAAAGATGGGAGAAGGGAGACCCTTTAGGGGACAAACTTGGGGGTTTCCGACATCCATTTTTCATCTCATAAAAAATGTAGTGGCTAAGTCTCTCAACACAAAGAGTAAAAATATAGGGAGAGAGGGGACATCCTTGTCTAATGCCTCTGGTTGGTTTGAAGATGTTAGTTTCATCGTCATTCAAGATCACATGGTAACTTGTTGTGGTCACACATTCCATAAAGAGCTTGATGTAGCATTCGAGGATCCAGGAAGCTCTAAGTGTTTCATGAAAAAGTGCTAATCCAGTTTGTCATAGACTTTAGCAAGGTCCACTTTTAAGAGCATATGCACCTCCGTCCACTTTTATTGGATATAGAATGCATCGTTTCCTGTAGGATGATGATGTTATAAGCAATATGCATGTTAGGAATGAAACTGGACTGGTTCCTATGTACAAGTTGGGCATCAATGGCTTAAGCTTGTTAGCTAAGAACTTCTCCACCACTTTGTACCCACATTGCATAGGCTTATGCAATGCAGTCAAAAGCGCGATTCAACCTAGAAGCGAAAAGGGGTAAAATCGTAAAACGTAGAATCAAAGTGTAAAATCAAAAGTTTTTTAAGCATACTGTAAAATAACTAAAAATATGTTAATTACGACATATACTTTGACTTGTGGACGAAGTAGCTTCTTTAGAAAGTTTTCTTGAGGAATTAGGGCTAGTAGCGGTTGGTATTGATGTTGGGCCGCCGCTCATTTTTCACCTGGGTTGGGTTGTTTCTGGCCCAAGTAAATCCTCCTCTAATTTTTAGAACGGTGGTTAGTAGGAAAATCTCTCGTGGGCCTTGGTCCAAGTTCGGGTTGCTTCACTACCAAATATGCTTGTTTTGGCCATAAAGTGAGCATTCCATGTACAAATCCATCTCTGTTTGACCCCATGAGTTTGTATTATAGTCTTCCTTCTGACCTATTAGGTCAGAAAAGCACAAAACAACACCATAAATGCATCAAATAGTATAGAAACACACTTAAGGTCTATCATAAGCACATTGTCCAAATAGTTATGAATTTCATATGACACATAGTCAAAACCACCAAAGATGCATTGATAGAAGGGGAAAATGTATTTAGAATGGGAGTGATAAAGACTAGGAATTGAGTGTCACAAGTCACACTGATCGCGTTGTGATCGAGATTTAAACTTATAAGTCAATGCACACTCACTAGTCACTCCTAACTAGGCAAGTTAAACCACGCTAGGGATGTAGTAAAGTGGCTCGGTCGTAGTCCATAGGGTCACGTTATCCTAGACTATTTAGGCTCGGTCGTTATCTAGTCACCCTGTTACTTAGCAGGTGGTTCATTGGTGATTCCTAAAATAAAGATCGATAGATAAGAAAAGGTACTTCAGGGTAACTCCCTCACCCTACTTTAGGTCTAACATGTAAATGATTAACTATTTTGGGTTTATCGGATATGGTGCGTGAGCTCTCTAATCTTGTGGTCCTTCGTCTTTATCTCACGCCTCCGAGTACGTTCCACAAGACCCATTGTCACCTCAGTCAAGGCTCACATATATGGGGAATTACGAATTTAGCTCATTTCAATAGGTTCTACCTATCGCACACACTAAAGAGAGGGATAGATACACGTTTGCGTTCCCCTAAAGTATCGTCTAGGAAGGCATTCTTGTAGCAGGCATACGATCGTCGTTCACTACTAGAACCTAAAACCATTCATCTACCCTTAATATGCCAGATGGCGCTACGCAGTGTAACCCTAAAACTCCGGCCTGGCGATGGCTCTGTTGCAGGCTAATAGGGAAGAGTAGGGTGACTTACCCAAGCATAATTAACAATATATGAAGCAATAAAATCACTAGATAAACAAATCCGTTCATAAACCCTAACATAATTCATAAATCTACATAATAAACCAACTCTAGGGTTTGGTAGTACCTTGGGAGATTACCCCATGAAGGGGGTACGAAAAGATATACAAAGAGAGGAAGAAATCATGAGGAGTGGGGTCTTTAATTGATGAAAGTCCTCCTCCAAAGCTCTCCTCCAATTCTTCTCCTTCTCTTCTTCTCCAAACTTCTACTTCTCTCTCTAGAATAAAAAATCTGACAAAAGCCATTTTCTCAAGGGGGAAGGTCCTATTTATAGAATTATGAGATTCTGGGTAAGTTCACGGTTGTAGGGTCAAAGTTCGCGGTCGTGAACTTATGGGGTGAGGCCATGATCTTCAAGCGTTGTCGTTAATTTTACTCTTCATCCAAGGGGAGATCGCTGGCTGATTTAACGGTCGTGATCCGTGAGTCGCTTTCACGATCTTTCTAGTGGGCTGGAAAGACAAGGACTGCGATTCGACTCGCAAAACTCTATGCTTCTCTCGGGTTGGTTGCCTCTCCCCAAGTATACGCCCATTGATCCATATATCTCGATCGCAATCTTGAGGTTGGAGGCGACGATCTTGGTACTCTACTTTGCTGCACCTCTTCACGTCCTCGGCCGTGATCTCTCATTCTTGCTACACATGTGACCCATTTGGTACCCAATTTGTACATATTGTCTAATACACCCTAAACTAGCAATATATTCTAAAAGGAATGAAACAAGGGTATATTTGATGACAAGACAATTATAAAGACCATGAAATTACTCAAAAAGAACCTAAATATGAGGACTAAATAACACGAATTTAGTTGTTATCACACACTCTTTCCAAAGGATCC